TATACTTTCTCATCCCACCTGGGTTTTGAATAAAAGGATGCAAATTCTTTCAGATACATATCTGAGCTCCAATCCTATCTGTATCTAAATATTATTTATTCAAGCACAGGATACTTGAAAAGAAGAATAAAAGTCTTGCCTCTAACATCCTAGGAACTATTCACATGTGCACATAAGCCCCAGATGCTGCAGCCATCAAGGAGGAAAAACACTACTGTCAATCAAATTAGGCAGGCTCTTGGATTAAAGGGACATTTTACAGATAAAATTGAGTACAGGTAGTTCTCGACTTACAACAGTTCTTTTAGTGACTATTTGAAGATGAAATGGCACTGAAAAAAGTGACTTATGGCCGTTTTTCGTTCTTACGACAGCATCCCCCATGGTCAGGTGATCAAAATTCCAATGCTTGGGAACTGATTCACATTTATGACCGTTGTAGTGTTCCGGGATTATGTGATCCCCTTCTGACGAGCAAAGTCAATGGAGAAATTGGATCTACTTAACAACCGTGTTGCTAATTTAACAAGGGCAGTGATTGTCTTAAAAACAATGGCAAGGAAGGTCGTAAAATGAAGCAAAATTCATTTAACAAATGTTAGGAACAAAAATTTTGGGCTCGACTGTGGTTGTAAGTCGAGGACTACCTGTACAGGTAGTCCTCCACTTACGACAGTTTGTTTAGTGACCATTTGAAGTTACAACAGCACTGAAAAAAGTGATTTACGACTATTTTTCACGCATAGACCGTGGCAGCATCCCCAATGGTCACATGATCAAAATTTAGATACTTGGCCACTGACTCAGATTTATGACCATTGCAGTGTCCCCGGGGTCATGTGATCCCCTTTAGCGAACTTTCTGACCATCAGAGTCAATGGGGAAGCCAGATTTCACTTAACCGTGTTACTGACTTAACATCTGCAGTGATTCACTTAACAACAGGTTGTTGAGAGTGTGGTCGCGCAACAGCTCCCCCAGCACCTGGATGAAACGACGTATCTGGATCCGTTCCAGTCGGGCTTCAGGCCCGGGTACAGCACGGAAACGGCATTGGTCGCGTTGGTTGATGATCTCTGGAGGGCTCGGGACAGGGGGTGCTCCTCTGTCCTGGTCCTGTTAGATCTCTCAGCGGCTTTTGATACCATCGACCATGGTATCATGCTGCACCGGTTGGAAGAGTTGGGGGTGGGAGGCACTGTGTTGCGGTGGTTCTCCTCCTTTCTCTCTGACCGGTCGCAGTCTGTGTTGACAGGGGGACAGAGGTCGACCCCGAGGCCCCTAATATGTGGGGTGCCGCAAGGGTCGGTCCTCTCGCCTCTCCTGTTCAACATTTATGTGAAGCCGCTGGGCGAGATCATCCGTGGTTTCGGGGTGGAGTACCATCAGTACGCTGACGACACCCAGCTGTACATCTCCACCCCGGATCACCCCAACGATGCCCTTGAAGTGATGTCCCGGTGCCTGGAGGCCGTACGGATCTGGATGGGGAGGAACAGGCTCAGGCTCAACCCATCCAAGACTGAGTGGCTGTGGTTTCCGACGTCCCGATATAGTCAGTTGACGCCATCACTGACTATTGGGGGCGAATCATTGGCCCCCACGGAGAGGGCTCGCAACTTGGGCGTCCTCCTGGATTCACGGCTGTCTTTAGAAGAGCACTTGACGGCCGTGACCGGGAGGATTTTTCATCAGGTTCGCCTGATTCGCCAGTTGCGTCCCTTTCTGGATCGGGACTCTTTACGCACGGTCACTCATGCCCTTGTCACCTCCCGCCTGGACTATTGCAATGCTGTCTACATGGGGCTCCCCTTGAGGAGCACCCGGAGGCTCCAACTGGCGCAGAGTGCGGCCGCGCGGGTGGTAATGGGAGCGACATGGCGTTCCCATGTAACACCTCTCCTGCGCGAGCTGCACTGGCTCCCGGTGGTCTTCCGGGTGCGCTTCAAGGTTTTGGTTACCACCTTTAAAGCGCTCCATGGCTTAGGACCTGGGTACTTGTGGGACCGCCTACTACCACCAATAGCCTCCCACCGGCCGGTACGCTCCCATAGAGAGGGGCTCCTACGGGTGCTGTCAGCCAAACAATGCTGACTGGCGGCCCCCAGGGGGAGAGCCTTCTCTGTAGGGGCACCTACTATCTGGAACGAGCTCCCCCCAGAGATACGGAGGATCCCGGATCTGCGCACCTTCCGCCGCGCCTTAAAGACCTTACTATTTCACCAGGCCGGCCTGGCCTAATTTTTCCCCCTCTTTTATAAAAGATTTTTAAAATTTTAAACATCTTTTAGTATTTATATATTCAATTTTAAATTGGTTTTAAAAGTTTGGGGTTTTAAATTTGTCGGGGCCAAAATTATTTAATTTGATTTTATTCTATTTTTTAAATTTTGTATTGTATGTGTTTTTATTGTTTGGCTGTGCACCGCCCTGAGTCCTTCGGGAGTAGGGCGGTATAGAAATCTAATAAATGAATGAATGAATGAACAGCTGTGGCAAGGAAGGTCGTAAAATGAGGCAAAACTCCCTCAGCGAATGCCTTACTTAGCAACAGAAATTTGGGGGGGCTCCATTGTGGTTGTAAGTCGAGGACTACCTTTAGAGGTGATTTGCCTTCCTTGTTAAACAGATGAAAGGCTTATGAAGGTGTGGCGTCCGTTTCTGAGCTTTAGAAAAATAAATATTTAATCTGAGAGAGAGAGAGAGAGAGAGAGAGAGAGAGAGAGAGAGAGAGAGAGATTTGGAAAGGACAAAGAAAGGTTTTCCCCAAGGTTTCCACATTATACACACAACCGCATTTCAAGATAATAATTTTATTTATAGGCACTTCCTGGGTTAAGAACAAATTCCTAACTCTGTCTTTAAGTCAGATGTTATACAAATTGGAAGTTGTGCTTACAAATGGACTGGCTGTCATTAAAAATTGTAGCTCCCCCTTGTCCTTCCTCCCCAAATGCTGAAGTTGTACTTCCAAGAACTGAGGAAGACCAATTGTATACAGGTAGTCCTTGACTTACGACCACAACCGAGCCCCAAATTTTTGTCGCTAAGTGGAACATTGGTTCAGTGAATTTTGCTCCATGTTACGAACTTTCTTGCTATTGTTGTTAAGTGGAGCGTTGCAGTTGTTAAATTACTAACACGGTTGTTAAGCGAGTCCGGTTTTCCCAGTGGCTTTGCTCGTCAGAAGGCCGCAAAAGGGGATCACATGACCCTGGGACACTACAATCGTCATCAATGTGAGTCAATTCCCAAGCGTCTGAATTTTGATCACCTGACCATGGGGGATGCTGTTGTAAGTGTGAAAAACGGTCCTAAGTAACTTTTTTCAGTGCTGTTGTAACTTCGAACGGTCACTAAACAAACTGGTGAGGGCTACCTACATTAATGATGTGTGGCCTTAGCGGTTCTTGAAAACATTGTGCCGCTTCAGCGGTTTGCTGGCTCAAGGGACACTTCAAGGTAGACCAAACTAGATTAGACTAGACTAGACTAGACTAGACTAGACTAGACTAGACTAGACTAGACTAGAATAGAATAGAATAGAATAGAATAGAATAGAATAACAGAGTTGGAAGGGACCTGGGAGGTCTTCTAGTCCAACCCCCTGCTTAGGCAGGAAACCCTACACCAGTTCAGACAAATGGTTGTCGAATCTCTTCTTAAAAACTTCCAGTGTTGGAGCATTCACAACTTCTGCAGGCAAGTTGTAAGGTGTTCCACTGACGAATTGTTCTAGCTGTCAGGAAATTTTTCCTAAATTGCTTCTCTCCTTCATTAGTTTCCACCCATTGCATCTTGTCTTGCCTTCTGCTGCTTTGGAGAATAGCTTGACTCCCTCGTCTTTGTGGCAGAAACCCAAATTGTATAGGCCTATGCTACTTTTTTTGAATTCTGGTGCTGGAGAAGACTCCTGCAAGTCCCTTGGACTGCAAGACGATCCAACTGGTCAGTCCTAGAGGAGATCAACCCTGACTGCTCTTGAGAAGGCCAGATCCTGAAGAGGAAACTCAAATACTTTGGCCACCTAATGAGAAGGAAGGACTCAACTATTTCAACTACAGGGCATCCTTGACTTACAATTACAATAAAGTCCAAATTTTATGTGGCCAAACGAGACAGTTGTTAAGTGAGTTTTGTTCTAACTTTCTTGCCACTGTTGTTAAGTGAATCAATGCAGTTGTTAAGTTAGTAATATGGTTGTTAAGTGAATCTGGCTTCCCCATTGACTTTGTTTGTCAGAAGGTCACAAAAGGTGGATCACATGACTCCAGGACCCGGCAACCGTCATAAGTATGAATCCTTTGTCAAGCATTTGAATTTTGATCACGTGACTGTGGGGATGACGGTCGTAAGTGTGAAAAACACTCATAAGCCACTTTGTATAATGCTGTTGTAACTTTGAACAGTCACTGTACGAATTCACGGACTACCTGTATTTTTCAGTGTATGAAAAAAAATTACATACGATTATAAAAACTAATTCTTTTCTTTTATTATTTAACATCAATATTTATCTATTTATCTTGGCTGAAAACCAGGAAAATTGGAGCCAATGAGAACAATTGGACCAGTATTTTTTTAAAAAAATGTGACAGCTTTAAGTTATGTAGACTTCACCGGAATGAGAATAAACAGGTGAATTAAACTGAGCCAACAGTCTTGATTCATACTTTGTGCCAGACCGTGGTTTTTTTTAGCGACAATGTTTTGAATAAAACACAAACCACCGAGTTCGCACGGCCCTAATCCAAACCGCATCCTATCTTAGAATATCAAAATTCCAAACACTGGGATCATCCGCAATTTAAATGAATAGGAAAGATTGCTGCTCTCTCTCTCTCTCTCTCGGGCCGATTGTCGATTCTACGATACCGTAGAAATGCCTGCACACAGCTTTCTTGGCGACAAAAGAAATAAGAAAAAAACGGGGGGTGGGAAAGGAAGAAGTGGAGGGAAAGAGTAGAACGAAAAGCGAAGCGCAGTTTGTTTGTATGTTTGTTTGTTTTTGGAAAACAGAAATTGCAGTACACAATTAAGTGTGGGTGTGTGCTTGGGTCAGGACCCACAAAATGATTTGTTTGCTAAGGTAAAAAAAATGAATTGGGAAGTGAAAGTGAGTAGGATGGGAATTCCCTGAAGACTATCAGTGGGTGAACAGGCAATAAATTAGTTGTTCACCGGGGTAAGAACATCTCTTCTCTGTCTGGATCACAAGCAGGAAAGGGGACACAACGCAGAGATGAGCCAACAAGTTTTCTTCACCATCCTTGTTCTTCTGGCTTGCTGCGGGGCACTCATACAAGGTAAAATAATGAACTGGTTATCTTTTTTGGTTCTAGAAGGGAGGCATTTCCAAGCTCACCCATCCCCAGATTTTCAAGACCCCCCTTTCCTGTTTCTTCTACTTCTCGCTCCTTCGTCCTTCGTGCAACTTCCTTTCGTATCCTGGTGTAACCTTTTTGTAACCTAGAAATAAGGAGAAATTTCCTGACAGCGAGAACATTTAATCTGTGGGACTGATTTGCTTCCAGAAGTTGTGGTTGCTCCAACATTAGAGGTTTTTTTCAAGAAGACAGGCGACAGCCCTTTGCCCTGAAAGGGTCTCCTAAGGGGTTGGACTAGAAGACCTCCAAGGTGCCTTCCGAACTCTTGTTATTCTTGTTATTCGGGGGCTCCTTCCTCTATTCCTAGTCCTCTGGAACGTCTGTTTCTGGCTTCGAAGTGGGGGGAAACAGAATTAAAAGGATCTGGGTTGGGAAAATAAGATTTGCTTTATGGGAACAGGGTCAAGAGAAGGCAGCTGTGGAGTCCACTAGACTAGAGGAATGTCTTAATGGGTGAAAACATGCATGAAATGGAATCTGTGTGATTTATTTGTCGCCTCTGTCTGAGAAATTCTCAATTTCAAGGTTCCTGGTTTGAATTTTCCCTAATCAAGCAAGATAATTTTGCCTATCATCTTTATCTTTCTTTCCTTCTTTCCTTCTTTCCTTCTTTCCTTCTTTCCTTCTTTCCTTCCTTCCTTCCTTCCTTCCTTCTTTCTTTCTTTCTTTCTTTTTCTGTCTGTCTTTCTTTCTCTCTCTCTCTCTCTCTCCCTCCCTCTCTCTCCCCCCTCTTTCTCCTGTTCTCTCCTCTCCTACAATATAGAATTAGAATATCAGAGTTGGAAGGGACCTTGGAGGTCTTCTAGTCCAACCCCCTGCTTAGGCAGGAAACCCTACACCACTTCAGACAAATGGTTATCCAACCTCTTCTTAAAAACTTCCAGTGTTGGAGCATTCACAACTTCTGGAGGCAAGTTGTTCCACTGATTAATTGTTCTGTCAGGAAATTTCTCCTTAGTTCTAAGTTGCTTCTCTCCTTGATTAGTTTCCACCCATTGCTTCTTGTCCTGCCCTCAGGTGCTTTGGAGAACAGCTTGACTCCCTCCTCTCCTCTCCTCTCCTCTCCTCTCCTCTCCTCTCCTCTCTCTAAATTGGGGCCAATCTTATTTCCATATGGATGATTTTTCCAAAGAAGGAGCCACCCCAGAGAAGGCCCTTCTTCTTGGCCCCACTAGATGAATCTCCTTAAGAGAGGGGGAAAACTGAAGGGGAAAAAAGATAAAATGAAATAGTAGAGAAGATCCAAATCTCCCAGATACGTTGGACAATAATTTGAAGCATATTTATTCACCACAACTATGGTGGCTGGGGTGACGGAGCATGGAGGTTATAATCCAACAGATTGGAAGGCACCAGAAGGAGAAGGTTAGTGCAAAGGTCAAGCTAGATTTCGAACATCCCTCATCCCTTTGTCTGAGTGCCAGTTTGGTGCCGTGGTTAAGACACAAGGCTAGCTACCAGGAGGCTGTGAGTTCCAGTTCTGCCTTACTTCTCTTAGTATAATCACAGGATTTTCATTTTTTCATTTTTCATTTTATTTAATTTGTATACCGCCCTACTCCCGAAGGACTCAGGGTGGTGAACAGGCACAGGATAAAACACATAGAATACAAAAATTTAAGAGCAGAAGTAAAATCGAATTAAATCAATTTAGCCCAAGACCAATTTAAAACCCCAAATTAAAATTTACATTAAAATTTACATTAAAAAGAGAATGGGAAAGGTTAGGCCAGACCAGCCTAGTGAAATAAAAAGGTCTTGAGAGCGCGGCGGAAGGTGCGTAGATCCGGGATCATCCGTATCTCCGGGGGGAGCTTGTTCCAGATAGTAGGTGCCCCCACAGAGAAGGCTCTCCCCCTGGGGGCCACCAGCCGACATTGTTTGGCCGACGGCACCCGGAGGAGTCCCTCTCTGTGAGAGCGTACCGGCCGGTGGGAGGCCGTTTGTGGCAGCAGGCGGTCCCATAAATAACCAGGCCCTAAGCCATGGAGCGCTCTAAAGGTGATAACCAAAACCTTGAAGCGCACCCGGAAGACCACCGGGAGCCAGTGATGATTGTGAGAGTGGGAGCAAGCATATGCGTCACCTTACACGTCTTAGAAAAAAAGAGAGGAAGCAATTGCAATGGAGTAAAACGGAGAATACGCTTTGAATGAGCACATACACCAACTCCACATAGCCAACCAAAAATTTATTTGTGTGGCTGGCAAGAAAACCTTCCCATACATTACACCAGTGTTTTTCAACCTCTGCGATATTCAGATGAGGAATTTGGTAGTTGAAGTCCACTCATCACAGTACAGAACAACAGAACTGGAAGGGGTCTTGGAGGTCTTCTCATCCAACATCCTGCTCAGGAAGGAAACCCTATACCTGTGATGGTGAACCTATGGCATGCGTGCCACAGGTGGCACACATAGCCATATCGGTGGGCATGCGAGCTCAGCTCCGGCACGCATGCGTGCACTGGTTTTCAGGCCTTCTGGGCCCACCGGAAGTTGGCAAGTGGGCCGTTTTCGCCCTCCCCAGACTCCTAGAAAGGCTCTGGAGCCTGGGGAGAGAGAAAAATGGGCCCGCCAGACCATCGCGTGCCAGGAGCGCGGGAAGTGGGGGGGGTTGCACACACATGCATGGGGGACTGGATGCATAAAATTATGGGTATGGGCACGCAAACCCCCCCCCGGTGCTTCCCCGACTCCTGGCACACAATAGCAAAAAGGTAGCCATCACTGCCCTATACCATTTCAGACAAATTGTTATCCAGTCTTTTCTTTAAAAACTTCCAATGTTGGAGCATTCACAACTTCTGGAGGCAAGTCGTTCCACTGATTAATTGTTCTAACTGTTAGGAAATTTCTCCTTAAATGGTTGCTTTTCTCCTTGATTAGTTTCCATCCGTTGCTTCTTGTTCGACCTTGAGATGCTTTGGATAATAGGTTGACCCGCTCTTCTTTGGCCTGTTAAATACTGGAAGACTGTTATCATATCACCCCATTCATTCCTTACTTTCACTTTTTTTTCAGTTACTTATTTCTTTTCTTTCTTTTCCCTGCCTTTTCTTTTTTTAAAGAATGTCTTTTTCTATCCTTTTAAAAATTCCGGATGTGTTGTGCCTATGTGTCTTGAAAAAGCAGCAAAGGTTTGGGACTTTAACTTAGCCTATTTTCCATATTCCATAACCCCATGTTAGAAGAAACCCCACCTAGAGAATGAAATATTTTGACGGATATTAAAGAGGCAGAATATTATATTTCCCCAAAGGAGAAATAGAGAAAAATCTTAACAAAGGCAGAAAGCAGCCCCATCGCTTCAAGCAGAAGCTTCAAGTCTTTCGGAATGCAGATTTTATATCCATTCAGAAAGATTGGACCAATCTATTCATAAACAAACACCTTCAGCCGCAGCTCCAGCTGATGGGATTAAGAATTTACATCCCCCCCACCCAAATTCTAAGGGCATGACCTTTAGGATGTAATAGGATTAACCCGTCACCATTAGAATAACAAAAGACACAAGTCTTATTACACTGCACAACCCCCCTGGAGCGTCTCAATCATCAAACCCCAGAACCTTACAAAAATCCATCCATTCACTCAGCAATTTTGTCAGCCACCCCAAAAACATTCTGCTGTCACTGAAGTATCTGAAAACCAAATAAACAGGGACCTCCTTTTCTATGTGGTCTGCATTTGATTTCCAGCATCTTTCTCCCGGCTTGGAACCGGACCGGATTTTTCTTCCAATACTCCGGTCTGCGGAAAAATCTCTCTCCACAGAAATGGTCCCAGGGGTACCCAAAAGGTTGGGGGCCTCTGCCTTAGATGATTGTGACTGATGGGTGAAGAACTTACCTTTTCTAAATGATCCCTTGCAGGATTGCCCACCTCCAGCCGGGAGCGCTGTTTATGCAAAAGATCAGGAATGCTGTCCGTGAACATGGAACGTGTGGTGAAAGTCGAGTACCACAAGTCAACCACCAGCTGTGGACATGAGGAACTGCTGTAAGTAGCTGAGCCAAATCATGCTGCCTTTTCCCGTTGAAGCTATTGAATTGCTCTCTAGGTAGTCCTCGATTTACAACCACGAACGAGCCCAAAATTTCCATTGCTCAGTGAGATGGTTCTTACTTCTCCCTCTTTATGACCGTTTTTGCCACAGTTGTTAAGTGAATCCCTGCAATTGTTAGCAACACCGTTGTAAAAGAGAATCCCCATGGACTTTGCTTGTCAGACGGTCGCAAAAAAGGGGATCATGTGACCCCGGGACATTGCAGCTGTCATAAGTACATGCCAGTTGCCAAATGCTGGGATTTTGATCATGTGACCACGGGACATTGCAGCTGTCATAAGTACATGCCAGTTGCCAAATGCTGGGATTTTGATCAAGTGACCACGGGAATGTTTTGGGGTTTTTGCTGAAACAAAGAGGAACAATTAACTTGCAGTCTAGGGGTTTGAGGATTAGAAAGTGTAGACTATGGAAAGAAGGAAACTGTGTTGTAACCTTTGAGAGAGAGACTAAGATGTAAATAAATGTAACTGCCGTTAAAAAGGTTGGAAACCACCTTATAACCTTCTCTTTCTCTTTCCCTTTCCTTTTCCTTTTGCCTTTCCCTTCCTTATTTGCACTTTTTTCAGTTACTTATTTCTTTTCTTTCTTTTCCGTACATCTTCTTTTCTTTTTTTTAAAAAATGTATCTTTTTATCCTTTTAAAAATTCCGTTTGTGGGTGCCTACCGGTATGTATCTTGAAAAACCAGCAAAGCTATGGGACTTAGAACCTAGTCTATTTTCCATATTCCATATCCCCCATGTTAAAGCAAACCTTAATGCCACTGTTCGTATGTATCTGCAAAAGTACACTGCTCAAAAAAATAAAGGGAACACAAGCAGAAGACATCCGAGATCTGAACGAATGAAATAGCCTTATTAAATACTTTGTTCGTTACATACAGTAGTTTTGTGTTCCCTTTAGTTGTTTGAGCAGGGTATAAATTATTGTATGTAAAGAACAAAGTATTTAATAAGGCTATTTCATTCGTTCAGATCTCGGATGTCTTCTGCTTGTGTTCCCTTTATTTTTTTGAGCAGTATATATAGGATTCTCTCTGTGTGTCTCTGTCTCTCCTTCTTTCCTTCTCTCTCTTTCTCTCTCTCTTTCTTCAAAAGTTGTCCTATGCATACAGTAAAGTGCCTTTTTCTGTCCCCAAATAGTGCGGCCTCAGGGCTGCTGAGTGGAGGGTGGAAGGTGGGTAGTCTCAGAATAGTTTGGGATTCATAGCCCCCAGCCCCAGTTTTCTGCCCTGCATAGATTCTTAGTACTTTGTCCTGTCGTTCCTTGTCTCCCACTTAACTCGCAGTCTGTGAGACAGATAGGAAAGCCCCCACACATACACACATACATACGCACACACAGGATCAACGCTCTTGCAGGCAAACAACAGTTTTACAACACTGCCTCCTAAATCTGCAGCATGATCCCTGCGTCAAAAGAGAACCGGTTTCCTATCCTCTGACAGATAAATAAAGGGATCATAAGTCAAACCACCTGATTCAAAAACAAAACTTGAAAGCAACTAAAATTCATTTCCTTGCTTTCAATGGTCACACAGCCATAGGTAGCTGCAAACGAAGTAAGACAGAGAAAACTGCAAAAGATCCAAGGTGTGGTTTCAAACAGATGGCCTAAAGAAATTTTAAAAAAGATAAATTCATTTGTTTTGTTCAGTTCATACAATACACGGTAAAACTTATGAGCAGACCATAAAATAATTAGTTCACACAACAGCTGGCACAGACAAAAGTAAACTTCAGAAATAAGAAAGTGCTTGTTGCCAACAATCAAATGTCTAATTGTAAATTCATGGTGTGAAACACACATCCATATCTCAGTTAGAATAAATCCTTCCAAGGACTCCTGTTGGGATCTCCTGAAATTTTTCAGATTTTTTATTGATCAGGATGGGAACAAGATGATCTTAGCTCCTTTACGTGTCCTAGTAGCCAGGATGTCTAGCTGGAATTTTTAAAAATTCCAAAGTTTTCCCCCCAGAGGGTTATTATGGAAATCTGGCATATGGTTTCCCCAGTTACGCCTTAGGTCTTCCTCGTTTGAGGTCAACAGTTGTGGGTATGTTGAGTTTGACAATCTGGAGAGGTAACAGTAACAAGTTGGAAGGGACCTTGGAGGTCATCTAGTCCAACCCCCTGCTCACACAGGAGATCTATACTAGGCAGGTGAATGGGCTTCAAAACAGTTGCACTGATTGTCGATTAATGATGAATGTTAATAACATCAAACAATCCTTTTGTCTAATTTGGTCTCTAATTTGTATATATGCAGAGTGTTCCTTAGAAACAACCGAAGACGCTGTCTGAATTTGAATGGGGACCAAGGCAGGAGAATTAAACAGGTAAGCAAAGTTTCAGTGATCATTTTGGTGAAGCTTTAGCTGTGTTTGTGTTTTTCTAAGGACCAATAAATCAAGCTGGAATGAAGAAAGAAATCTTTTTTCAACTGTTTATTCCTGCGCAAATTCTCTCACGCTTGGGAATCGAGCATCCTGAGTAAAAATTGGCTCAGATTTTTATTTTTATAAAAATCTGAGCCAATTTGTAAAAAATGGCTCAGATACACTAACTTTTCTTCGTTCTTTACCACATGTCAGTCTCTGTGATTTCCTTCACAAGGTTAGCGTTCACCCTTAGTTGATCACGTTGGTCATATTTAGTACAAAATTACTCATAGAAGGTCCTTGAAACATTATGAATCTTATCTCCTCGCCAGACGTCTATGGAGATTCTTGGTCATTCAGGTCATAGTTGTTTGAAAAGTGCTTTTTCAAAAGGCAACTGTTTTTTCCTTGAGGAAGAAGTCTCGCTTCTCATCCAAGAAGCTCCATCAGACAATGAAGACCAGACAACTGCAAAGAAATAGATTCCTTCCATCCCACCACCATAATCCTTTTCAGAACCTATCCTCCACCATCCAGCCAGAACTGATGAAGCTTCTTAGATGAGAAGCAAAATGCCTTCTTCTTCCTCAAGGAAAAAAGAAATAGACCAATTGCCTTTTGAAAAAAAAGCACCTTTGAAAATCATTGCCAGATGTTTCCTGATGTTAAACTGTGGCTTGTTTGTCAGTTTTGCAAGGAAGCCAGCAAAGAGAGGGGAAGCTTAGAACAATCCAGTGGATAATTTAATCAGTTCTAACTTTGGGTGGCCCGTTATTCTACATAATTGGATTAATTCCTGATAGACTTGATCTTCAAAACAACCCTTGAGACCTTTTCTTAGGAATGGGATTCCTTTCCCATAGAAGTTAACATTTTTGGTGTTGCTTTCTCTAGGATTTAAAGGGGACTTTCCCTGTTTTGAAGGATTCCCTTATTTTATATTCTTCGTCATTTTATATGCTTAAGCTATCATCAAGCTAAGCCATAGGAAGAACAGTATGTAGGAATTGGGTATGTCTAGTTTAATGAAAAGAAGGACTGGGGATGACATGATAGCAGTCTTCCAATATTTGCGGGGCTGCCACAAAGTAAAGAATAGGGTGTCAACCTATTCTCCAGAGCACCTCAAGGCGGGACAAGAAGCAATGGATGGAAACTAATCAAGGAGAGATGCAACCTAGAATTAAACAGACATTTCCTGACAGTAAGGACAATTAATCACTGCTTGCCTCCAGAAGTTGTGGGTGCTTCAACACTGGAGGTTATTAAGAAGAGGCTGGACAATTATTTGTCTGAAATTGTATAGGGTCTCTGATTAAGCAGGGGGTTGGACTAGAAGACCTCCAAGGTCCCTTCCAACTCTGTTATTCTACAGTCAGAACACAAAGCCAAAGGATTTTAGAAGAACATCATCAACTTTCAATGCAACCTTTTGTAGGTTGAGAAAAACTAATCAAGTTTCTATTTTATTTTATTTATTTATTTATTTATTTTGTCGAGTACAAATTAGATAATATATATAAGTATAAGCATGAATTGAATACATAAAATGAATACAATTAAAGGGAACATTAGGACAGGGACGGAAGGATTGCTGGTGCTCTTATGCACGCCCCTTACAGACCTCTTAGGAATGGGGTGAGGTCAACAGTAGACAGTTTAAGGTTAAAGTTTTGGGGGTTTTGGGATGAGACCACAGAGTCAGGTAGTGCATTCCAGACATTGACCACTCTATTACTGAAGTCATATTTTCTGCAATCGAGTTTGGAGAGGTTCATTTTAAGTTTGTATCTATTGTGCGCTCGTGTATTGTTGTGGTTGAAGCTGAAGTAGTCATTGGCAGGTAGGACATTGTAGTGGAATAATCAGTATGCTTAGGTCATACTTCCTATGCTTTCTTTACAGGCAATTATAGAAGAAAAAAATGCCAACCAATGAAGTTCAAGCTGAGTTTTAGAGAAGCTGCTTCATAAATGATTCACTTCCTAAAGACACGTAATCAGTTTCTGAAGGATTCATAATCTTTGACATCCACGTTGGAAGCCAACAGCGTTATTCTTATCAAGCTGCTGGGGTTTAGAAGTTAAGCCCAAGCACTTCCCATAGGAATTCATTAAAACAAGTACAAGAGGGATGCAATGAGTTGAAATGTCTGTGATTTTCTTTTGATTTTGACATCTCTGACCATAGAAGATGTTCATTCTTCCAAATCAGACAAGCCAGGACAATGTGATACAGGCACCCTTCATTCCTAAATATTTTATGCTTGTTACATCAATGCAGATGGTCCTTGACTTACAACCACAACTGAGTCCAACATTTCCGTTGCAAAAGCAAGACCATTAAAAGTGAGATTTGCTTCATTTTACGACCTTTCTTGCACAGTGTTTAAGTGAATTCACTGCAGCTGTTAAGTTAGTAACACGGATTTCGAATCTGGCTTCCTCCTTGACTTTGCTTATCAGAAGGTCGCAAACCAGGATCATATGACCTCGGGACACTGCAACCGTCATAAATTTGAGTCAGTTGTCGAGCAACCTAATTTTGATCACACGAGTTGCTGCAGCAGTCTTGAATCTGAAAATTATCCCTGCTTTCAGAGGCGTTTTAACTTGAAAAGAACTAGTTGGTGGCCCAGTAGCTAAGACACTGAGCTTGTCGATCAGAAAGGATGGCAGTTCGGCGGTTCGAATCCCTAGTACAGGTCTCCTGTGTGAGCAGGGGGTTGGACTAGATGACCTCCAAGGTCCCTTTCAACTTTGTTACTGTTTATCTGAATTTTAATCATGGGGATGTACAATGGTTGTAAGTGTAAAACATTGATCATAAGTCTGTTTTTTCAGTGCCATTGTAACTAAATGAATGGTTGTAAGTCAAGGACTACCTATATGTCATGCTTGTTAATACAATTAGAGGCTTCCATTCCCGATCATGTTCTGTGTGTGTTGTAATGTTGCAGTCCAAGCTTTATCATTTTTTAGTAGCGTTGCAATTTTGTACGTAAGTCGAAGAATGGAGCCCGTGGCACCATAACACACCATATCTCCCATTGAGTCCTCTGTGGGCATTTATGTATATAGTCTACTATAGTTTAAGAGAATATTTCTTCAATATTTCAATAAATGTCATTCTGCTATTCTCTGTCTGACTTTTATTCACACAGTATGTCCTCAAAATACATTTAACCTGATTGCTGAATAAACTCAAATCCTTTGGCTGTCACACACTCAAACGATAGATTTACCAAACTGGCTGACTTACATAACCAACACATCTGACACACAAAAAAAGCTTTGCCCTTGTAGAAATCTAACATCCAAATTGGTATCTGATTTTGATCAAAGTATAGTGCTTGCATTTTTCAACCAATATAAAATCTCAGGCACAAATCTGACACGATTTTAAATGTGTGTGTTTGTATTTCACTTGCAGTATATTTTTTGTTGGAAAATTTCATCATCTGACAGCTGAGGCATCTGCAAGAGGGTTAAAAAAAAAATCAAGATGGCGGCCACAAAGTGATCAAAGCTGCCATCTTGACATTTTTTACCTCAGCTAAAGAAGTGATCAAAAATTAGGAAATGGCGCATGGACCTTCTTTTTTTTTCTGTGAAGCTATTTCAAGAAATGTTTCTCTTTTGAAGCTGGTGTAAGGTCCCAAAATACACTTGAGTCACCAGAATGCCAAAGAGAGAGACTCAAGATGAGGCTTGCAAAAAAACCCAGATTTTATTTATGGCCAAAAACAAAATACTGGGTGGAACTATATCCAGAACATACAGATACAATGCATGTGAGGAGATAGCCACACCTTGGGGAAGGTATGGCGTCCTTTTATACCCTCAGAGATGTCAGCTTAGTACCCAATTCTGGCCTCCTAATTTAGGTTTGTGTATTCCTTGTTGCCCTGCAAGGGGGAATAGAAACTTCCCAATTAGTCATCTTGAGCATTTATTTGTTTACTCAATTGGCCACTTTGGTCCCTGGCTCTGGAAGACAAGATCTTATCCAGATCAAACATAAATTAGGGCTGAGGTGTAAATTATCCCTTTGTTGATGGCTCTGGTTCCAACAGAGATACGTACCATGCTTTTAGATGGCACAGAAAGAAGATTGATATGAGTTCAGGTCAAATGGCAGGGACATACATTTGACAAATACCAGATACATTACAGAGGCCTAATAACAGAATATGTTTGTTACAGGAGATACAAATATAAAGACATAATATGCGTGATACAAATAAAAAGGCATATACGTATTACAGGAACCTAATGGTTACAGCATCTAGTCTACCAGTATATCATGTTCTAGTGTTATTTATTATATCTTTATTATTGTTTCCCTTCACTGGATTTGGCACAGAGTGGGCTTAAGAGTCGCAGGCTGGGGAAAATAAAAGTATAAAAAATAAAAGACAAAAACTTAATTTGTCTTTTATTGCAATCTGCACTGAATTTGAATTCCATTGCACTGAATTGCAAATTATTGCAATTTGCAATTTGCACTCAATTTGCACTGAGCTGAAGAACCTAAGATACATATTTTAGCTCATGCTAAAAGAAAACAAGGCTTTTCGGAACTGTGCACGATTAAATTAGCTCTCAATCTCTGCGGACTCATTTTGTATCTTCAAAAATGGGATGAATTCAAGAAAAAAAATTCTATTATGCTCTTTTTAATCTCTGTTTCTGAGGGAAGTTTCTCCTCACTGGACATAAATCAGAGCTTTGGGGATTAGAAGGTATTTTTCAGTTTATGAAAAAAATGCAAAAAATTATAAGAACTAATACTTGGATTGGATTGGATTATTTAATATAAATGATATTTATTTATTTTATCTTGGCTTAAAACCAGGAAAATTGGAGCCAAGGAAAGCAATCAGAGCAGTATTTTTCAAACTTGGCAACTTTAAGATATGTGGACTTCACTTGAAAAACAGTGAACTTAAATAAAGAAGTGAATTAAACTGAGCAACTGTCAGCGTTCCAACTTATGGTTTTCCCCAGCGCTGACATGAATGAGAGAAAGAGAAGCCTTGTTATAATGCTGGGATGAACCTTCACCTAGTTTCCTTTAGCCTGATAGATAAAGTCACCTAGGTGATGGAGGGAGGGGGGAAATTCTTGTGACTGTAAAGAGCTGGGATGAAGAGATGGATCTGGACGATGGCCAATGAGACACTGGGAAATAATGAGCGGAAAGGGAGGGGTTTGGAAGGGGGTGCCAGTTCTGGCTGCACATGAGTTCAGGAATGACGTTTATTCTTAAATAAAAGAAAAGATTCATCAAAGACTTTACGTTTGAGAATGAAATTTATTTGAGATAACACCAAAACCTGACAGCAACAAGTCTTGATTCCTGCTTTGTGCCAAACCATTTAACTACAATGTTTTGAATAAACCACAAACAAACCATTGGGTTCACATGGTCTAATCCAAAACGCATCCGAGTTTAGAATATCAAATTTCCAAATATTGGATCATCAGCCATTTAAATACTATAAAAGACACTGGTCTGTCAAGCCAATGGCTGTTGTGGTCCGCCAGCAGCCTGCGGAGCTGGCAGCGGAGTCGGACAGTGAGGAGGCTGGGGAGGAACACGGACAAGTGTTGGAGTCTGGGGAAGGCCCAGATGAGGGCTCTGTGTCAGAGGCAGAGATGGGGCCAGGGCCATCGGGGAGTGATGTGCAGAATCTGGAGCCTCCAGAGGCTGACAGCAGAGAGGCAGAGGAACAGGAGGAGCCTGTTCCTAGTGCACGTATGAGAAGAGTTGCCAGAAGGCAAGAGCAGCTAAAGCAAAGAGGACAACTCAGGAGTAAAGCCAAGAGATGATTGGCCCCTCCCATAAGGCTTAAAAGACCAGCAACGGCTCTTGGGTTCTTTGTCGGAAAACAACGTTGATAGATTTGTTTCTTGTCTTGCTGCATTTATTTCTTGTCGGCGTCTTCTGCTTCTGAACTTTTGCCAAGAAAAGCCTTTGGCAGGTTGCCAAAATAGACCAAGGTTGGTGATAAGGCTGAAGAATTGTGTTATGAAGAATTTGTTTTGAATTAGTTTGCACTACGCTGAGAATGAGTTCATTCTCAGCTGTTCTAATAAAATCTGTTTGTTTTCGAACTGATGGCGTCTGATAATACCTACTTGGGCCTGGGTTGCATCAATGGCCGAAGGATTCCATAGAAATGCCTGCACAATTTTCTTGGCATTCAAATTAGGAAAAAGGCAAGAGAAAGAAGTGGAGGGAAAATGTAGGATTAAAAGGAAAACACAGTTTGTTTGTTTGTTTGTTTGTTTGTTTGTTTGTTTGTTTGTTTGTTTTTGGAAAAAATATTGGAGTATACGATCCTCAATGTACTTTAGTTAGGAACTAGAGAACGGTTTATTTGCCAAGGCAAGGGTATCAAAGCCTGCGGGCTGGATTTTTAGATTTGGCCCTTGGGCTGCCCTGGAAACAGTGAAGGACTGTCCCACGGTGCCTCTGCCAGCGAAAACGGAGTTTGCAAGGGCTGTGCGTGGCCCTCCTGGGCTCCGTTTTCGCTGGCAGAGGGCTGCAGGAGGAAAGGAAGGATGGAAGGAAGGAAGGAAGGAAGGAAGGAAGGAAGGAAGGAAGGAAAGAAAGAAAGAAAGAAAGAAAGAAAGAAAGAAAGAAAAAGAAAGGTGGGAGGGAGGGAGAGAGAGAGAGACTTAGTTGAAGTCTTCTTTTATTTTCTTTTGGTTTCTTTTTTTGGTTGTATTGTTGCAATTACTGTTAACATAGTACAGTTATAGTTATTAGCATGTATGTTATTTATCATTGATCTTTCTGTGGTTGTACTTTATTTGCATTGTTATCCTGACATGGCACTGTCTTTTCAATGAAATATTTTTTTAAAAAAAGAAAGAAAGAAAGAAAGAAAGAAAGAAAGAAAGAAAGAAAGAAAAGGGAAGGAAGGAAGAGAAGGGAAGGGAAGGGAGGGAGGGAGGGAGGAAGGAAGGAAGGAAAAGGAAAAAGAAAGAAGGGGGGAAAGTGTAGGATTAAAAAGAAAGCACATTGTTTTTGTTTGTGTTTTGGAGTACACGATCGTCCTTGTACTTTAGTTAGGATCTAGAGAACAGTTTATTTGTAAGATAAGAGAATGGAAAGTGAAAGATTAATCAGAGATTAGGGATCTCTGATAAATAAAGGGGCGTCAATTTAGGCAATAAATTAACTGTTCATCCGGTGAAGATCAGTTCTTCTGTATCTGGATCACAAGGAGGAAAGGAGACTCAGCGCAGAGATGATCAAGCCAACTTTCCTCATTTTCCTTGTCCTTCTGGCTTGCTGTGTGGCTCTCCTGCCAGGTAAAATAAATTATCTGGTTCTCTTTTGGTTCTAGAATGGAGGCATTTCCAAGCTCACATCCAGATTTTCAATACCCCCTTCCTGTTTCGTCCACTTCTTGCTCCTTCCTCCTTCGTGCAAGTTGTTTGTATCTCCTCTACTTCTGGTCCTGTGCGATGACTGTTTTGAGTTTTTACAATGATCGGGAGAGAAAGTATAAGGTGTCTGGCATTTAGTTGGGATAGGATTTTTTTTTTTCATGTAGATTGGTGAATAAGTCATAATAGTGTTTGATTTGATTTTATTGTAATGCACAAATACGGAGAAAAGAAAGAAAGAAAGAAAGAAAGAAAGAAAGAAAGAAAGAAAGAAAGAAAGAAAGATGAAAGAAAGAAAGAGGATGAAAGAAAGAAAGAAAGAAAAGAAAGAGGATGAAAGAAAGAAAGAAACCATTTCCCTCATGATATACTATGCTTATTATCTATCTATCATCTATCTATCTATCTATCTATCCATCCATCCATCCATCCATCCATCCATCCATCTATCATTTTTTAAAAACAACATTGTTGAAAAGTTTTATACAAAATGAAAACAATGCAAAATTAAAGAAAAAGGAAAGTGAACTAGATAGGAAATAAAAGAGGCAGAAAAGAAGGTAAAGATATAAAGCAGCGACCTTTGATCTTGTTTACAAGTTATAATGTCATAAATATATTTATATTTTATCATCTCTGTCTAAGGTTACATTGTGGCTCCCTCCTTTCCATATTCCACCCCCTCTAATTATCAAACCCATAAATCAGAAGTTCATTTATTTCCATTTTCAGCAAAAAGCCCACAAAGGGTTTTCAGTCACTAAAAAATATAGCTATTGATTTTCCCCTAATCAAACAAGACAATTTTGTCCATCATCTATCTATCTATCTATCTATCTATCTATCTATCTATCTATCTATCTATCTATCTATCTTCTTTTTTCTTTCTGCCTTTCCTTTCCTTTCCTTCCTTTCCTTTCTTCTCCTCTCCTCTCCTCCTCTCCTTTCCTTCCTTTTCTTTTTTGTTCCCTTCCCTTCCCTTCCCTCCCCTCCCCTCTCCTCTCCTCTCCTCCTCTCCTCTCCTCTCCTCTCCTCTCCTCTCCTCTCCTCTCCTCTCCTTTCCTTTCCTTCAGAGGATATAATATCCAGTGGCTGAATGTCTGTGCATCACAGTAAAGAAAAATCAAAGCATATTATGATATAGATAGATCAATAGTCCTACATAAAAAAGAAACATTTTTCCTATCCTAGCTAAATCTCAGAAACTGATTCTTTCTTTATTGATAATTTACATAACTTGGATGCTTTACTGTTGTGGAATTGGTGTGTGTGTGTGTGTGTGTGTGTGTGTGTGTGTGTGTGAAATCAACAAATGCTGCTCTCACTGTTGCCTAACTTTTTTCCTGGGGTCAATCCAACTTCCAGATGTTTGCTACAAAAATTGGGACTGCCCCAAACAAGCAAAGAAAAAATCTAACTGAGTGTTGTTGTCTAGAGATCCTTTGAACCTTTGCAACATTAATCCAGTAGTCCTGGGAATAACACCAATAATGGTGAGGGGCTAAACTGATTTATTCCTAGGCAGGTGAGTCTAAAATTCCAATTTAATTAGAGGAAGATCTTTAGCGGACCAGGTAATATGTAGGATATGAACAGAATCACTAAATATAATCCAGCTGGGCTATTCTTGCTTTTCTTTCTTTCTTTCTTTCTTTCTTTCTTTCTTTCTTTCCTTCCTTCCTTCCTTCCTTTCCTTCCTTCCTTCCCTCCTTTCGCTCTCTCTCTTTCCTTCTTTTCTTCCTTTCCATCTCTCTCAATCTTTCTTTCTTTCTTTCTTTCTTTCTTTCTTTCTTTCTTTCTTTCTCTTCCTTCCTCCCATCTTTCTTTCTTTCTTTCTTTCTTTCTTTCTTTCTTTCTTTCTTTCTTTCTTTCTTTCTATATGGGCTCCCACCTCACTCATGGTGACTCCAGGTGGCTGACAAACCCCCCAACCTCCCACCCTCTGGCAACAACTATCAAACTAATCACTTGATGGGCTCCCTATCATTCTGAGGTCCCCAGGTCTGTTGGGAACCCATGTCTTCAGATCCTTGCAAAACAATGTCAAAGTGGAGGTCAATCTTATTTCTATAAGGATTATGTTCCCCAAGGAAGGAGCCACCACAGACAAGGCCCTTTTTTTGGTCCCATTAGATGCATCCCCTTAAGAGAGAGGGGGGGGGAACTGAAAAAATAAAAGATAAAATGAAACAGAAGAGAAGATCCAAATCTTCCACATATTATGGACAACAATTTGAAGCATGTTCATTCACTACAGCTATGCTAGCTGGGGTGGAGTAGCATGGAGGTTATAGCCAACAGATTGGAGGGCACCAGGTTGGGGAAACGTAGTGCAGAGGTCAAGCTAGACTTTGCACATCTCATCCCTTTGTTTGGTGTCGTGGTTAAGATACCAGGCTAGCCATCGGGAGGCTGTGAGTTCCAGTTCTGCCTTACTTCTGTTATTAGTATAACAACAGGATGAGTGGGAGGAAGCATGTCCATCACCTTACATATCTTAGGAAAAAAATGGGGGGGGGGACTAAGCACTGTTATTAACAACTGCTGCTTGCAATTACTGCAAATTTGAATCTCGCTAGGCTCAAGGTTGACTCAGCCTTCCATCCTTTCTAAGGTAGGTTAAATGAGGACCCAGTTTGTGGGGGCAATAAGCTGACTTTGTATAAATATACAAAAGTATGAAGGCTATTGCTTAACGCATTGTAAGTCGCCCTGAGTCTCCGGAGAAGGGCGGCATATAAATTAAAGCAGAAAAAAAAATGCAATTAAGTAAAACAGAGCATATGCCAATGTCCACACAGCAAAGCAAAATTTTCCTTGTGTTTTCTTCAAGGAGACATCCCTCTGATGGAAAGCTCAGAAGCCAACCCTCCCATACCTTACGGCAGTGTTTCTCAAATTTAGCAACATTGAGATGAGTGGACTTCAACTCCCAGAATTCTGGGAGTTGAAGTCCACTCACCTTAAAGTCCTTGGGTTGACAAACACTTCCATAAACGATTGGTGAAATCAATTCACCTTCTCTATATGATCCCTGGCAGAACAATCTACCTCTGGCCGTGAGCACTGTTTGTGCAAAAGAGGAGGGATGCTGTCTGTGAACATGGAACGTGTGGCTAAATTCGAGTACCACAGACCAACCAGCAGCTGTGTTTATGAAGAACTGATGTAAGTAGTTTTTTTAAAAAAATAATTTTCTATTAAATACATTTCTTACTGCTTAATAAACATTGTGTTGTCTGGGTATATAATTTGCTTCACAATACAAATTTACATTCTTAATTTCCACCCCTTTCCTCCCCACACCATTGGTAAAATAGATTCCATGTTTGATAATATTCCGTATCTTCTTTCTGTTTAATTTGCAATTTCAATCTATCCATTTCTGCATAATCTAGTATCTTCCTGGCTCATCTCATGGTATATCTTCATTTTTCCAGTATTGTGCGAATATAATCCTTGTTGCTTTTAAAACATGTAATATTAAGTACGTATTTTTCTTATCATTTTTTTTCCTGATATTATACTTAATAAAAACAATTCAGGTTTGAAATCTACATGTTTCCCTATAATTTTTTCTAGCCACCTGTGTATCTTTGCCCAATTTTTTTTGCCTTTGACGCAAGTCCACCACATATGATAAAATGTGCCCATTTTTTTTTATATATACTTTATTGAACTTTTATTACATTTTTTTCCCATAATTTTTTAATTTTAGGGCAAAGCCACCAGAGATGATAAAAGGTTCCCTGTATTTGTTTACTCCAGCATATCGGATTGAAATTTGCATACATCTTTGCCAATCTTGCCGGGGCTAGATACCATCTGTACCACATTTTATAATGGTTCTCTTTATGTGTTGTTGCCTTTGTGATTTTATAATTATTTTCCCATATCATTTCTCATTCTTCTAATTGTATACTCCTTCCAATGTTTCTAGCCCAAGCTATCATTTGACCTTTAACTATGTTTTCTGCCAAATCAAATTCTAGAAGGTATTTGTAGAACTTTGAAATTATTTTTCCCTCTTTGGTTTCTAATAATTTATCTAACTGGTTTGGTTTTATCTCGACTCCTCCTTCATCATTGTCTTTTTTATATCTGGTTTGTATTAATAGGTATGGCCACCAGTCTATTTCTATGCCCTGGTCCCTGAGCTCCTGCCATGTTTTTAGTTTTCCATGTATATCCAAGACATCTTTATATCGTATTGTTTTTTGAGTGGCTGATATATATTAGGGTGTATTGCTGCCTCTAGTGTAGATATCCAGCCTGGGACTTTCATATAATGTTTATTTTTAATTTCCAACCAGGTGCCAATTAGTGAGTTTCTTATTATGTGATTTTTGAAGTGTTTATATGTTTTATTTCCAATATTCCACAAATAAGCATGCCACCCTTTTAATAAATCATGGCCTTCTAATTTCAATATTCTTTGATTATCTAAATTAACCCAATCTTTAATCCAAATTAAACTTGCTGCTTTATAATATTTTTCCCAGGCTGGTAGGCCAAAGCCTCCTCTAGTTCTATCATCCTGTAGAATTTTTAAATTTATCCTTGTTTTTTTCCCATCCCATATAAATTTGGAAATTATGGTGTTCAAATTTGTAAAAAAAAATTTCTCTAATTTAACAGGAATAGTTTGGAATAAGTAGAGGAGCCTTGGAAGTATGTTCATCTTTATTGCCGCGATTTTTCCCAGTAGCGATAATTTAAGTTTCCCCCATCTCTCTAGGTCTTTTTTAATTTGTTGTATTAGCTCTCCATAATTGTTGTCTATAATGGCCATGTTTCTAATTGTCAGATTTATACCTAAATATTTTATTTTCTTAACTACTTGCAATCCTGATTGTTGTTCCAAATCTTCTATTTGTTTTATTGTTAAATTTTTAGCTAATATCTTGGTCTTGTCTTTATTAATTTTTAGCCCAGCCACCCTGCCAAATTTCTCTATCTCCTCCATTAATTTTAATTGTGTTTTTAGTGGGTCCTCTATGAAGAATACAAGGTCGTCTGCGAAGACTTGGACCTTGTATTCTTCCCCTTTTACTTTAAGTCCTTTTATATTTTTATTTTGTCTAATTCTTCTAAGCACATTCTTTAGGGTTAAAATAAAGAGCAAAGGTGAGAGTGGGCACCCTTGTCGTACCCCTCTACTTATTTCAAAAAAAAATTGTTAATTCCCCATTTACTAATATACTTAGAAATTAAAAATTAGAACATGGATAATAGAAATAACGGATAACGTTAAGAAGAAGAAGATATTGGACTAAAACCTGAAATCTTCCTGTTAGGTATACTCAAAAAAAGTAGTAGAAAGGAAATAAAATACATCATGTTACATATAATTACGGCAGCCAGAATAACATTAGCTCAATCCTGGAAATCAGAACAGTTACCAACAGATCAGCAAATAATTCAAAAGATATTTACATGCGCAGAAATGGATAGATTAACTTTAAAATTAAATGATAAGGAAGACTCACAATATTTCCAAATATGGGACAGATGGTACGATTGGATCAATAAACGGAAAAAAAAGTAATGTCAAATATAGGAGAAAATCAAGGTAATAAATACACACCGTCATTAAGATAAGAGAAATAAAGATGAATGTATATATTTGGGTACTTATATACTATAGACAGGTAATCCTGTTTGTTAGTTAGTTTGTTTATAAGTAGTCTTGAATGTATTTTTAGAGTTAAGAAAGTTTTTGTATAATTTTTATCTTTTTATATTGAATAAAGTTTGTTTTTAAAATTAAAAAAAAAAGAACTTTTATTACATTAAAAACATAAAAAATTATATCACTCAACAACAGCTCTTTGTGGTGTTTTTCTTGTGACAATAATTTGTGCATTATTTACAAAAATTAAATTGTGCGTATTTACATTCTTATTTTATCTATTACTTATACTTAATAACTATCTATCTTTAATCTATCTCCGCTCTATCCAGTTATACCACTGTTCCCACACATTGTAAAATATCGATGCCTCTTTATCTTTTAAACTCAGCGTTAATTTGTGCATTTCTGCGCAATTCATGACCTTTTGTATGACAAGTTTCTCTGCGGGTGTGCATGCCTGTTTCCAACATTGAGCAAAGTCCATCCTGGCAGCAGTTAATATGTGTAGTACTAGATTAAGGTGACCAGAAGTCCCGCTTTTGGCGGGACAGTCCCGCTTTTGAGCAATTTGTCCCGCGTCCCGCGGCGTTTTAAAAAAGTCCCGATTTTTCATTCTGCCTCCTGAGTCCCAGCTGATGGCTAGAGGGAAAAAAACTGTTTAAACTCTTGCCAGGGGGCTTCAAAGGGCCGCCCTACGTTGATTAGCTCGGCTTCCCCCTCTCAGCTGTTTTGCGGAGGGCTCTTGCTGCTTGCTAAATTGCTCCAGCAGATTTTTTTTTCTCCTTCTGCAAACCAAGCTCAAAAGGAAACTGAAAGTGAAACAGGCTGTTGGCTTGTTTGGTGCAACGTTGGAAAATTAGGCAGCAGAATTCTTTTCTTTTTCCTCACCAAAAAAGGTAGGTACAGACAATGGGAAATTTAGGGCAAAAGAGGAGAGTTCAAGATTTTAAAACACAAAAGAAAAAAAAGCTCTTTTTAACTAGGGAATTGTAATAATTGAGATACTATTGTATACTGTGTTGAAAGCAGAAATGGTTAAGTTGTGGTTTGGAGAAATATATGGGGGAAATTATTTGGTTTATTATCATTGGTAAATATAATTAATTGATTTGTAAGAAATTGGATTGCATGGAAATAATTGGAATATTCATGTTCATATTGATTAATATACAAAAAAGATAGTTATATAACTAATTGATTTATATTAAAATGCTGAATTTGTATTAAATAACTGTATTACATAATTACATAATTAACCAATGTGAGGATGGATATAAAAATAGATGACAATGGGAAGGGGTATAATATAGAATAGAAGGGAAAAATTGAATTTGATTAAGATTAGAGATGAGGATGAAGGGTAATATTGTTTTTTTAAAAAAAGTAGATGAGGAATAAATATGGCAAAAAGGAAATATAGAAATTGTAAATTTAATTGAAATGACTAAACACTGTTTAAATTTGTGAACCAGCCAAATATTCTGTTCAAAGAAAATACATTGCATGTTTGTATGTGTGTTTCTAATTATTGCTATTTATTCATATTTGTTCTCTTTTGTTCTTTAAAGTTTAACAATTCATTCTTTATCTTAATATCTTTATATTTGTTTGGGATTGGCTTTCTTTCTTTTCATCTTTTTTATTGTACAGCAATCTTTCTCCTCAAACCTACCACCTCTCTCTTTTCTTTCCTTCTTACTTTCTCTTCCCCCCACCCTCTTCTTCTCCTCCCTATTTCCTCTTCCTTTCTCCTTCTCCTCCTCTCTTCCTCCCTCTCTTCCCCTCACTCCTACTCTAATTTCCCTTCCCTTCCTTCATCCCTCTCTATTGCGGTATCCTTTTATGCATATGGACTACTCAGAGGGCTGAAAAAGTTATTTTTGACTGGTCCTCACACTTTTGACCAGTCCTCGAACTTACGACTGTCCTCACATTTTACATTTTTGCCCTATCTTGTCACCATGGTGAAGAGAAGCAGTTGTGAAATGAGTGACATGGTTGTTAAGAATCCTGCACGGGCATAAATGTGAGGATGGTCATAAGTGTGAGGACCAGTCAAAAGTGCGAGGACCTGTCAGAAATGACTTTTTTCAGCCCTCTGGTTAGTCCTTTTGTGCATATGGACTACTCGGAGGGCTGAAAAAGTTATTTTTGACTGGCCCTTGCACTTTTGACCAGTCCTCGAACTTACGACTGTCCTCACATTTTACTTTTTTGCCCTATCTTGTCACCATGGTGAAGAGAAGCAGTTGTGAAATGAGTGACATGGTTGTTAAGAATGCTGCACGGGCATAAATGTGAAGATGGACATAAGTGTGAGGACCAGTCAAAAGTGCGAGGACCTGTCAGAAATGACTTTTTTCAGCCCTCTGAATAGTCCCTATACATATAGCCATGGCCACTCGGTCACATGACCAGCTAGCCACACCCACCCAGTCACATGACCTCCAAGCCACGCCCACAAAATAAGCCACGCCCACAATGGTGTCCCTCTTTACCAATGTTAAAATCTGGTCACCTTATACTAGATATTTTGTGCTCTTCATATATTTTTTTTTGAAGATCCCCAATAGGAAGAGTTCCGGTTCTAAATCTAATTGTTCATTCGTAATTTCCTGTAGGCTATCTTTAATATTAAGCCAATATTTTCGAGCCTCAGGGCAGGGCCACCACATATGGTAGTATGTTCCCTCTTTCTTTTTACATTTCCAACAAATGGGGCTCATTTTAGGGTACATTTTCGCTACTCACGAAGGGGGTAACTGCCACCTGTAGAACATTTTATATGCGTTTTCTTTATATGCTGCTGATTTTCTTAGTTTATGGTTTCTGTTCCATATGTTCTCCCAATCTGATAATTTTATGTTGTGTCCAACATTATGACCCCATGCAATCATGCATCCTGGTTTGGTCCGGTTCTTGCAAACCGGTAGTAATGGTGGCGGGAGGCTCCGCCCACCCAGCCAAACGTCAACATGGACGATCTGCGCAGGTGTAGAAGCTTCTGCACATGCGCAGAAGCGTGTGTGTGCGCTCCCGTTGCGAATCAGTAGTAAAGGTAAATGGAACCCCTGAGCTGGATGTATAGTTTGGTTTTTCCCCAGAAGGTTATGGAAATCTTGCATATGGTTTCACCAGTTATGCCTTAGGTCTTCCTTGTTTGAGGCCAACTGGTGTGGCTATGTTGAGTTTGCATTTCACAATCTGGAGAGTTGGGAGGGCAGGTGGATCGGCTTCACCACAGTTGCACTGACAGTCAATTAATGTTGAGTGTTAATAACATCAAATAACCCTTTGTCTAATTTGGTCTCTAATTTGTTCTCTTTGCATATATGCAGAGTGATCTTTAGAAATGGCCAAAAACGCTGTCTGAACCTTGATGGGGACCAAGGCAGGATAATTAAACAGGTAAGCAGTGATTGTGAGCTTTAGCTGTGTCCGAGGACCAATAAATCAAGCTGCAGCATGGAAAGAAATCTTTTTTTCCCCATCTTTCTTTATTCCTGCACAAATAGACAGCCTCAAGCTTGGGAATCAAACATCCTAAGTAAAAGTTGGCTCAGGTATTTATATATCTATACATATATATTTAAACTGACTTTATTATTTACTGCATATCAGTCTCTGTGATTTCTTTCACAAGGTTAGCATTGATCATATTTCTCATCTTTAGCACAAAATTACTCATAGCAGGTCCTCGAAACATCCGAATCCTAGCTCATTGCCAGACATTTCCTGTTGTGTACCTGTGGCTTGTTTGCCACTTTTGCAAGGAAGCCAGCAAAGAGAGGGGAAGCTTAGACAGTCCAGAGGATAATTTAATCAGTTCTGATTACAGGTGGCTCGTTATTCTACATACGTAGCTGCATTAATTCCTGGCTCACTTGGTGTTTAAAACATCCCTCCCTTGAGACCTTTTCTTACCAATGGGATTCTTTTCCTATAGAAACTATCATTTTTGCTGTTGCTTTCGCTACGATTTAAAGGGAATGTTCCCTATTTGAAGGATTCCCTTATTTTATATTCTTCATCGTTTTATATCTGTAGGCTATCAACCTATGAAGGAGAGTTGCAGAAGTTGGGTATGTCTAGTTTAATGACAAGAAGGACTGGGGTGATAGGATAGCAGTCTCCCAATATTTAAGGGGCTACCACAAAGAAGGTTGTGCATGTCTGTGTGAAGCTATTATCCAAAGTATCTAAAGGCAGGACAAGAAGCAATGGATAGAAACTAATCAAAGAGAGACGCAACCTAGAATTAAGTAAAAATTTCCTGACAGATTACCTCCTGAAGTTGTAGGAGCACCAACACTGGAGGTCTTTAAGAAGAAATTGGACAACCATTTGTCTGGAATGGTATAGTGTCTCCTGCTTGAGCAGGAGGTTGGACTAGAAGATCTCCTTCCAACTCTGCTATTCTATTACTCTGTTATTCGTTTTATGATTCTTAAGCTTTCATCAAGCTATCAGTCAGAACATGGAGCCGAACAATCAGAAGAGGGCCATTAAATTTCAATGCAACTTTTTGTAGGTTGAGAAAACTAATCAAGTGTCCTACTTCCTCTGCTTTCTTCACAGAAAATTATGGAAAGAAACAATGCCAGAAAATGAAGTTCAAACTAAGTTTTGGAGATGCTGCTTCACAAATTATTCTCTTCGTATAGATACGTAATCAGCTTCTGAAAATTCATAATGAATAATCCATAATCCATAATCTGATTACTGAATAAACCCAAATCCTACATTCCCACATACTCAAATGATAAATTTACCAAACTGGTTGATTTACACAATGCACACATCTGACACAAAACAAAGCTTTGCCATTGTAGAAATGTAGCATCCAGATTTGTATTTGATCTTGTTCAGTTTACAGTGCTTCTATTTTTCAACCAATATAAAGTCACCAATTTGACATGATTTTAGATGTGTGTATTTGTATTCCACTTGCAGTATATTCTTGTTGAAAAATTACATCATCTGACATGAGACATCTGCAAGAGGGTTAAAAAAAATCAAGATGGCGGCCACAAAGTGATTAAAGCCGCCATCTTGAATTTTTTTTTTAACCTTCATGCCTTCAGCTAAAGGAGTGATCAAAAATTAGGAAATGGAGCATGGACCTTCCTTTCTTTCTGTGAAGCTAGTTCAAAAATGTTTCTCTTTTGAAGTTGAATTTGGCATGGAGCGGGCTTAAGAGTCGCAGGCTCGGAAAAATAAATGTATAAAAAATAAAAGACAAACAAGTAATTTGCACTGAGCCAAAGAATACAAGATAGAGGACTGCTAATATTTTGGCTTATGCTAAAGAAAAAAAAAGATTTCTCCTCGCTGGACATCCATTAGAGCTTTGGGGATTAGAAATTCCCAAATTCCTAGCCAGAACACAAGAAAAATTCAGCTCTAAATAGGATTACTAGACGTCCTCCATCCAGCAGACATAGCCTTAAAATTAAACATTATACAGGCAATCCTCAATATATGGCCACAATTGAGCCCAAAATTTATGTTGCTAAGTGAGACATTTGTTAAGTGAACTTTGCCCCATTTTACGGCCTAACTTGCCACTATTGTTAAATGAATCATTAAAATAGTTAAGTTAGCAACATAGTTGTTAAGTGAATTTGGCTTCCCCATTGACTTTGCTTGACAGAAGCTATGATGCTATTACATGCCCCAACTACATGTATGTGTAAAAGGACCACAGTTGGGACAGCAGTGTCATGACATGTAAATGGACTTTCCATAGCGAAATTCGAAGACACTTTTATATCTGAAAACTTTCACAACTCTTCAACAAAAGCAATTTTTGGAATGTAGTACATGTAGTCCTTGACTTACAACCATTTGTTTAGTGACTGCTCAAAATTTCAATGGCACTGAAAAAAGTCACAAAGGATCCTCACAGTTGTGAAAGTCACAGCATCTCCACAATCACATGATCAAAATCCAGCTGCTTAGCAACTGGCATGTATTTAGGATGGTTGCAGCATCCCAGGGTCATCTGATCACCTTTTGTGACCCTCCTAGCCAGCTTTCAACAAATAAAGTCAACGGGGGAATCCAGATTCCTTTAACGACCAAATAGTTCACTTAACAACTGTAGCAGAAAAGTTCATAAAATCAGACGCAACTCACTTAAAAACTGCCTTAGCAATGGAAATTCTGGTCCCAGTTTATTTATTTATTTATTTTATTGAATTTCTATACCGCCCTACTCCCGAAGGACTCAGGGCGGTGAACAGCCATAAAATAAAACACATACATATACAAAATTTAAAATCGAATAAAATGAATTAAATAAATTTGGCTGAATTGATACCCATAATTTAAAATACCCATATTTTAAAATACAGTAAAAATTTAAGTTGTGGTTCTAAGTCAAGGACTACCAGTATGTACAGGTTCCCAAACAGATCGAGATTCAAAAGATGTTGATACCTCCAACTCCATTGTTATCAATGCTACAATGTCCTACCTGTCAATGACTGCTTCAGTTTCCTCCGCAATAATACACGAGCACACAGTAGATACGAACTTAAAGTGAACTGCTCCAAACTCGATTGCACAAAATACAACTTCAGCAACAGAGTGATCAATGCCTGGAATGCACTACCAGACTCTGTGGTCTCATCCCCAAACCGCCAAAACTTTAACCTTAGATTGTCTACTGTTGACCTCACCCAGGGGTGAAATGCTCCCGGTTCGGACCAGATTGCCCGACCCGGTAGCGATGGCAGCGGGCGGTTCAGAGAACCGGTGGCAAAAATCTCTGTGCCCCCCCCATGCCCAACTTTTTAAAAAGTTTTTTAAAAAAACTTTTAAAAGCATTTTTTTCTACAACCTCTTCCGACGAAAAAATGCTTTTAAAAGTAAAAAAATGATCGCGCGGCTCAGCTGGGATCGTCAGAGGCTTTCAAAGCATTTTTTTCTGCAACCTCTTGGCTGAAGAGGTGGTAAAAAAATGCTTTGAAAAGTCTCTGACGATCCCAGCTGAGTTGCCTGATCGGCAGAGGCTTTTCAAAGCATTAGAAAAAATGCTTTGAAAAGTTTTTTTTAAAAAAAATTGGCCATGCCCATGCAGTCACATTACCAAGCCATGCCCACAGAACCGGTAGTAACAAATTTTACATTTCACCCCTGACCTCACCCCATTCCTAAGAGGTCTGTAAGGGGCGTGCATAAGTGCACCAGCGTGCCTACCGTCCCTGTCCTACTGTCCCCATTTATTCGTATCCATTTTCTATATTCATAATCATGTTTATACTTATATCTGTTATCTTCTACATGTTTGACAAATAAATAAAATAAATAAATAAAACTCTCAATTCCTGGACATTGCGGAAAGCAGCACCCTAATATTTTCTGAGAAATAATTTTGTGGGTGGAATTTATCGATCCTGCTTGCATGCCCAAGCCTAGAACATAAATGGTCACCAGATGATTTGAGGTTGGAACCAGCAACTTAAACAAGGAATGCACTCAATGACCCTGCCAATATAAAGATGGAGGGAAAGGAAATATAACAAAGGGCATCACGAGAGTCTGACAAGGAAGTGCAAGGCAGGTAGTCCTCAACTTACAACCACAATTGAGCGCAAAATTTCTATAGCTGAGCAAAACAGTTGTTAAGCGAGCTTTGCCCCGTTTTACGACTTTTTTGTCACTGAATCACTGCAGTTGTTCAGTTAGTAACAAGGTTGTTAAGCAAATCTGGCTTCCCCAGTGACTTTGCTTGTCGCAAGAGGTGATTACATGACCCCTGGAGACTGCTACTGTCATAAATGTGGGTCAGTTGCCAAGCAGCCAAATTTTGACCACGTGATTATCGGGATGCTACAATGGTCACAAGTTCGAAAAACGATCCTAAGTCACTTTTTTCAGTGGCATTGTAACTTTGAACCGTCACTAAAGGACTGGTTGTTCGTTGAGGATCTTCTGTAGTCCACTACCAAGTGTCAACCCTGAAGTTGGCTGAACTGAGGGCATTTTTATTTTTCTGCTTCAGTGCTGACATATGCTGGAACAGAAGGAGAGTAAGGGGGGGAATAGAGACACCGTGTTTCCCCGAAAATAAGACCCTGTCTTATATTTTTTTTGCCACCCAAAAAGGCACGAGGTCTTATTTTCAGGGAGTATATTGTCCACTTGCGTTCCTCAACCCTGGCCTCCTTTTCGCTGTCAGAGGCCTTCAGGAACTTCTTCGGCTTTGGAAAGTTGCTGCCAGGCCTCGCACACCTCGGACCATTTCTTCTGCAGCCAGCAAGGCTTACTTGAAAGCCTCTGTAGCCAGTAACAGAGTTTAGGATTAATCCAGAGCTTTGTTATCGGCTACAGAGGCCTTCAGGAAAGCCTTGCTGGCTGCAGAAGAAATGGGACGAGGTGTGCGGTGCCTGGCTACAGCGTCTAAAGGTAAGTAGTAGAGCAGCTCCACCCCCCGATCCCCAGCCTAGCTTAATTGTTCCCCGTGCATCTTGGAGTGGCCGGGATCTTAATTAGGGCTTATTTTGGGGAGAGGGCTTATATTGGGTGCAATCAAGCTAGGACTTACTTTCTGAGTAGGTCTTATTTTCAGGGAGACACGGTAGCTTGGATGCTGTAGCCAAAACAAAATGCTTTCCCTTGGGAACCAAGGACATTCCTGCAGGTGTTCAGAAGGAGGAGACTGAGGTTATCTAGCAACTGGACTGTATGCTGATTGGACCATGTGACTGAGAGTCTGGGAGGGAAGGGACAAACTTTTACTTTTAGTTAGGTGAAAACCCAGGGAACTTTTAGAGTCGGTTTTCACCAGATCTGTGCCAATATGATATTTCCAATAAAGATATGCCTTGAGGACTTCAACTGCCTTGGAGATTTGCTTGATATGCGATTATTACTTGGAACCCTGATACCAAGTGAACTGAATTCTCTTCAAAATATTCCTGGGCTCTTACAAGAAATAACAACCAGAATCCACCAACTGCCTTAATTAAGATAATATCTTGGGCTTCCCCTTAATGTGTCTGGCAGCCAGATTCCTTCCTTTTTCTTCAAACAGAGATTTCTCCTAAAAGCCAGATGTGGTTTAAGTTTCAAGATCATGGTGAGTCATCAGCAGAGAGAGCGAAAAGAAAAGGCAGGCTACGTTGATTATCTGATAATTATATATATATATATATATATTATTTTTGAAATGGCCAGAATTAGTTAATTAGCTTTTCTCCTAAATGCAAATTAAGAGGGAAATGTTAGAACTATTAGATATAAAAAAGATATTGAGACTCTGGAAAGAGTGCAGAGAAAATAATTAAGTTGATTAAGGGCTTGCAGACTAAAACATATTAGGACCGGTTTCAGGAATTGGATATGTCTAGTTTGGTGAAAAGAAGGACCAGGGGTGAGATGATAGCAGTATTCCAATTTCTATGGGGCTGCTACAAAGAAGATGGGGCCAACCTATTGTCCAAACCACCTGAAGGCAGGACAAGAAGCAATGGATGGAAACTAACCAAGGAGAGAAGCAACTTAAAATTAAGGAGACATTTCCTGACGGTGAGAACAATCAATCAGTGGAACGACTTGCCTTCAGAAGTTGTGGATGCTCCATTACTGAAGCTTCTTAAGAAGAGACTGGATATCCATTTGTCTGGAATCGCCCTAGGACATAGTAAAAAAGGTCCCGATTTTTCCACAGGGGAAGGGAAGATGTTATCGGTGCAGGAGCATCACTCGGGCATGCCCCTCACTGCCCATCTCTGCCCATTCATGGCAAACTTCTCCCTTGCTGGGCGTTAGCAGAGAAGAGGCAGGAGCAATAGTGGTCAGCCCAGCTTCCTGCAAGGCAGAATAAATAAATGCTTGTAAATCAAGGATTACCTGTATTTTTTTAAGTCTATGAAAAAAGAAATGCAGAAAATTATAAAAACTAATTCTTTTCTTTTATTATTTCACCTCGATAATATTTCTTTACTTTATCATAGCTTAAAACCGGCACGAACATCGACAATGAAAGCAACCAGAGCAGTGTATTTCAAATTTGGCAATTTTCAGATGTGTGGACTTCACTTGAAAAACAGTGACTAGAATAATAGCAATAGCACTTAGATTAACATACCGCTTGACAGTGCTTTATAGCCCTCTCTAAGCAGTTTACAGAGTCAGCCTGTCACCCCCAACAATCTGGGTCCTCATTTTACCGAAACATGGAAGGCTGAGTCAACCTTGAGCCGGTCAGGATCGAACTGCTGGCAATCGGCAGAGTTAGCCTGCAATACTGCCTTCTAACCACTGCTCCACCATGGCTCTTCACTCATAAAAAGGTGAAACAAACTGAGCAACAGATCTTCATTCGTACTTTGTACCAGACCCATTGTTTATTTAATTAATACGTTTCGAATAAACCACAGGCCACTGGGTTCAAACAGTCAAATCGAAACTGCATCCCAGCTTGAATGCCAAAATCCCAAACATTGAATCATCAGCAATTTAACAGATCAACAGAGTTGGAAGGGATCTTGTAGGTCATCTAGTCCAACCCTCCGCTTAAGCAGGAGACCCTACACCATTTCTGACAAATGGCAGCCCAATCTTTTCTTGAAAGCCTCCAGTGATGAAGCTCCCACAACTTCTGAAGACAACTTCTGTTCCATTGGTTGATTGTTCTCACTGTCAGAAAGTTCCTCCTTCCTTCCAGGTTGAATCTCTCCTTGATCAGTTTCCATCTATTATTCCTTGTCTGGCCTTCAAGTGCTTTGGAAAATAGGTTGACCCCCCTCCTCTCTGTGGCAGCCCCTCAAACACTGGAACATGTCTCCTCTGGTCCTTCTCTTCACTAGACTAGCCATGCCCAGTTCCTGTAACCATTCTTCAAATGTTTTAGTCTCAGTCCCCTAATCATTCTGGTTACTCTCCTCTGCACTCTTTCTAGAGTCTCAACAAGTTTTTGATAGTGTGGTGACCAAAACTGGATGCAGTACTCTAGGTGTGGTCTTACTAAGGCTTTATAGAGTGGTATTAGTACCTCCCTTGATCTTGATTGTATCCCTCTGTTAATGCAATTTAGAATTGTATTGTCTTTTTGGGCTGCCGCTGCACACTGCTGGCTCATATTTAGTTGGTTTTCCACTAAGACTCCAAGATCCCTCTCACAGTCACTGCTATTAAGCCTGGTTTCACCCAGTTTATATGTGTGCTTTTGGTTTTTCTTACCTAAGTGTAGGACTTTACTTTTCTCTACATTGAATTTCGTTTTGTTAGATCGGGCCCAGTGTTCAAGTCTGTCAAGATCCATCTGGATCTTGAGCCTATCTTCTAGGGTGTTAGCTATTCCTGCCAGCTTAGTATCATCTGCAAATTTGGTAAATTCTCCTTCTATTTCCTCATCTAAGTCGTTTATGAAGATATTGAAGAGTACTGAGTCTAAGACAGAACCTTGTGGTACCCCACTGCTTACTTCTCTCCACGTAGACTTAGACTCATTAAGGACTACTCGTTGAGTATGGTTTGTCAGCCAGTTGCGAATCCATCTGGTGGTGAAGCTATCTATCCCACTTTTTTCTAGCTTATGAAGAATTAGGTTGTGGTCTACTTTGTCGAATGCCTTGCTGAAGTCTAAGTATATTATGTCCACAGTATTTCTCTGGTATACTAATTTAGTCACTGTGTTGAAGAATGAAATAAGATTGGTTTGGCATGATCTGTTTTTAACAAACCCGTGCTCACGGGTTTGTTAACTTTATTACTTTACTCGTTTCTAGCTGTTGGCAGATCTGTTTTTTATTACCTTTTCCAGTATCTTCCCGGGTATTGATGCTAGGCTGATTGGTCTGTAGTTTCCTGGGTCTGTTTTTTTTTCCTTTTTTGAAGATGGGAACCACATCAGCTCTTTTCCAGTACTCTGGTACTTACTTACTTACCTCTAGTACTTACTGACTATGCAAGGTGCTGATCTGTCAAGACGAATGCCTACGGATTCCACAGACATGCCAACACACGTCAAGGAAAAGTATCAATAGTTGGGAAAGATACAATACTTGGGACCAAGAGAATGGTTTCTTTGAAAATGTAAATACATGGGAAGTGAAAGTGAATAGGATGGGGATTCCCTAAGGCATAACAGTGGGCGAACCTACACAAATAAATAAGCTGTTCGCCCCGACAAGAACACCACTTCTCTCTCCGGATCACAAGCGGGAAACCGGACTCAGCGCAGAGATGCTCAAACAGACTTTCCTCACCGTCCTTGTTCTTCTGGCTTGCTGGGTGGCTCTCATGGAAGGTAAAATAAAAACGATCTTGTTCTCTTTTTTGGTTCTAGAAGGGAGGCATTTCTAAGATCACATCGAGATGTTCCTAACCCCTTTCCTGTTTTTTCTGCTTCTCGCTCCTTCGTCCTTCGTGCAATTTCTTTGCGCAATTTTGGAAACCTAGAAATCAGAAGAAATATCACTTTTGCTATTGCTTTCTCTAGGATTTAAAGGGGACTTTCCCTGTTTGAAGGATTCTCTTATTTTACATTCTTCATTGTTTTATGTCCTTTAAGCTATCATCAAGATAAAACATAGGAAGAACAGTTGCAGGAATCAGGTATGTCTAGTTTAATAAAAAGGACTCAGGTGTCATGATAGCACTGTTTGAGGGGCTGCCACAAAGAAGTGGGGATCAACCTATTTTCCAAAGCACCTCCAGGCGGAACAAGAAGCAACGGGTGGGAAACTAATCAAGGAAAGAGCCATCCTAGAATTAAGGAGAAATTTCCTGACAGTGAGAACAGTTAAGGAGTGGTTTATCTTCAGAAGTTGTGGGTTCTCCATCACTGGAGGCTTTCAAGAAGAGATTGGACAACCCTTTGTCCGGAATAGCATAGAGTCTCCTGCTTGAGGAGGACATTGGACTAGAAGACTTCCAACTCTGTTATTCAGTTATTCGGAGTCTCCTTCTCTATTCTTAATCCTCTGGGATGTCTGTTTCTGACTTTGAAGTGGAGAAGACAGAGTTGAAAGAAACTGGATCAGGGAAGTAACATGGGAAGAGGTTAGAGTCAAGGGAACGTAACTGTTAAGCCCATTATGGGAATGCATTTATAATTGAAACCATGCATGCAATTTATCTATCGCCTCTATTTTGACAGGTTCTTAATCTCAAGGTTCCCCTTTTAGGAAAGATTCCCATGTTTCTTATGTAGCATTTCAGGTATTTTGTAAAAAAAAAAAAAAAGTTCATGAAAGTTAGTTGGTGGGGAAAAATAGCAGGGGGTGAATTTAACCAGTAAATTAGGTGTTGGCCAAGATACCACAACTAGGAAAGGAGATGCGGCACAAAGATGACCAAATCAAGCTTCCTTCCCATCCTTGTTTTTCTAGCTTTATCTGTTTGTTTATTTAGTGGTTCGATTTATATGCCGCCCTTCTCCGGAGACTCAGGGTGGCTTACAATGCGTTAAGCAATAGCCTTCATACTTTTGTATATACCTGCTTAGTAGGGCTTTCGACCGCCCCAAGCGGTGTTCTTTTTTATACAAAGTCAGCTTATTGCCCCCACAATCTGGGTCCTCATTTTACCTACCTCAAAAGGGTGGAAGGCTGAGTCAACCTTGAGCCTGGTCAGATTTGAACTTGCAGTAATTGTAGGCAGCTGGTGCTACTTAACAGCACTTTAGTTTCCTGTGCCACCAAGGCTTCCTGTATAATTCTCATGCAAGGTTAAATGATCTGATTCCTTTTCGTTTTTTCAAATTGATTTTAGAAGAGGGGCATTTCCAAGTTCATCCCAGATTTTCAAGAGTGGGCTGTACTCCAATAGACCCTTTTCCTGGTTCTTCTACTTCTTGCTCCTTCCTCTTTCGTGCAAAGTGTATTTCCTCTACTCACGGCCCTGTTTAATGTCCGTTTCTGGCTTTGACAATTATCAGTAGAGAAAGTATAAGTTTCTGAGGGATAGGAAAAAAAAATTTTTTTCTTGTACGTTGCTGAATAAGTCATAATATAGCTTGATTTTAATTTAGTGTAATCAGTGGTAGTATCCTACCGATTCTTTCCGGTTTGGGCAAACTGGTAGTGGCGGCGGGAGGCTCAGCCCACGCACCCAGACATCATCATGGATGCTCTGCGCATGCGCAGAGGTGGCATACGTGCTCATATTTGTGAACCAGTAGCGAAGGTAAATGAATACCACTACTGAGTGTAATGCAGAAACACTGAGGAAGGAATTCCCAGCAAGGGAATTCTGGGAAACTGAAGTCCACTCACCTTAAAGTTGCTGGGTTGAGAAACACCGCTTTAGATGATTCTGATGGGTAGGCAAAGAACTTGTTGTGGCCCGCCAGCTGCCAGCAGAGCTGGCGGCAGATTCAGACGATGAGGAGGTTGGGGAGGAACTTGGGCCAGTTCTGGAGTCTGGGGAAGGCTGTGATAGATGCTCTGTGTCCAACGCAGAGATAGAGCCAGGGCCATCCGACATTTCCCAGCCACCGGAGAGGCAGCTACCTTTGGAGGCTGATATGGGTGAGGAGGAAGAACAGCTGGGACCTGTTCTAAATGCATGTATGCGCAGAGCAGTTAGGAGAGGTGAACAATGGAGGACAAGAGTCCACTCAGGAAGCAAAGCACATGTGGATGCTGAATGGCCCCTCCCTGGCTGGGGAATAAATAGAAGGAAAGGGGAGTGGTTGTGGTAGGAGACAACCGTTCCTATTTCTGAAGACTTTGCTCATGGTGTTTTGTGCCACAAAACACTGCTTGCCAAAACTTAATTTGCAGCCTTTCGGCTGGGAGCTCACGGCCTTGCAATTATCGCAAGGAACTGATAAGGTCTGTTACTGCAGTTAATTGCTCGAAGGACTATTGCCTGGATTTTTTGGTGGGTGAATGCCGTTAATTCACAAGAGGTAAATAAAGAGGGGTTTTTTAATGACAAGAAGTCTGTTTCTTGCTTCTGCTAAGGCTGGGTCAGAGCAGAACTCACCTTTTCTATATGATCCCTGGCAGGACTTCAGACCTCCAGCCATGACCGCTGTTCATGCAAAGGAAGTAGAATGTCTTCTGTGATTATGAACCGTGTGGCTAAAATCGAATTCTATATGCGAGGCAGCACCTGCAGTCAAGACGAGCTGATGTAAGTAGTTGAGCGGCGTCCTGCTGCCTTGTCGTGTCAAAACTATAGAATTCTTCTACAAGTAGTCCTCGGCTTACGACCACAATTGAGCCCAAAATTTCCATTGCTAAGTGAGGCAGTTCTGGACTTTTGCCCCCTTTTGTGACCTCTCTTGCCGCAGTTGCTAAGGGAATCCCTGCAGTTGTTCAGTTAGTGACGCCAATGTTCAGCGTACCTGGCCAGTGGTGGGCTTCAAAAATTTTAGCAAGGGGTTCTTTACCCGGTTGCTGGGTGGGCATGGCTGTGGTGGGTGTGGCATAGTTGGCCTCCTGCACTATGGCGGGGTGGACGGGATGACGTTTTTGCCCTCCCCGGGCTCCGGAGGTTTTCCTCGAACCTCTGGGAGGGCAAAAACAGCCTCCCCAGGCTCTGGAGGCCCTACCAAACTTCCAATAGGCCTGTTTTTCACCTTCCCTGAGCCTTTGTGCACATCCTGCACTTACCTGCATCCAAAACGGGCTGCGTGGGGACTCCTGGGAGGGGAGGGGAGGGGTGAGCATGTCAGAGGCAATTAGCCCTGTCACCTTCCTGGGGTAATTGCTTGGATCGTGGCATTTTCCTAGTGTATACTTTTAAAAAATAAAATCGGAATGCATCTTCTAATTAAACTCATATTTATTGTAAAGAAGAAAATAAAACATCTTACTAATCTAAAATAATTAAATTTTTACATTTTGGTAAAGTTCCTACCGGCTACTTCTCAGCAGCCGGACTTCTCTGGCAAGAGAACAAAGAAAAGTGTGAAGTAGAAAGAAAGGAATGCGGATATACGTAGTTAGCTTACTGATAAGAATTTTGGCAAGCTACGGAAAGTCTGACAGTCCAGAAATAATGAGCTCTGCTGGTAAATACAAAAATGCAGTGACAGAGCAGGGCCAGCCAGGAGTGGGATTTGGGGGTTCTCCAAACTGCACAGAATCTTAGCTAGAGGTTCTCCCGAACCCTTGCAGACCCCCAGCAGCCCACCCCTGAATCTGACTCCCCCATTGACTTTGCTTGTCAGAAGGTCGCAAAAGCGGATCCCATGACTCTGGGATGTTGCAACCGTCATAAGTCCGAATTTTGATCACGTGAGCATGGAGTTGCTGCAATGAGTGTGAAAAACAGTCATGAGTCCCTTTTTCCCCCCAGCACTGCTGTTAACTGCGAACGGTCACTAAACGAATGGTTGCAAGTCGGGGACTCTGCGTAATTGGTCAGATAGTCCTGTTTTCCATTGAATCTTTAGGTTGACTTTCCCCTATTACCGCCACTCTTCATGCCCATCCCATCCTGCTCATAAAAACAGGGGAAAGGATGCCTACTAGAAAAGCAGGCACATTGTGTCTTAGTTCAGCCTGTGTGGCTATTTTTAATCCGTTGTTCACATGATGTCAAGGGCAACATGCCAGGGGTGAAATCCAGCAGGTTCTGACAGGTTCTGGAGAACCGGTAGCGGAAATTTTGAGTAGTTCAGAGAACTGGCAAATACCACCTCTGGCTGGCCCCGGAGTGGGGTGGGAATGGAGATTTTGCAGTATCCTTCCCCTGCCACAGCCACCAAGCCACGGCCACAATGCCATGCCACGCTCACCAAACCACGCCCACCACACCATGCCACACCTGCCATGCCACGCCCACACAACTGGTAGTAAAAAAAATTGGATTTCACCTCTGCCACCAGGTTGAGAAAAGCAAGGTACTTTGGTTGGACTACAGACAAATTATTTCTTTTGCTCAATTTATATAATACACTGTAAACCTTAAGGGTCTGAGCAGACCACAAAATAATTAATCTCTGAGCTGGCAGAAACAAAAGCAACCCTCAGAAATAATAAAAAATAATTATTTTTAAAAAGTCAACCAAATGTCTACTTGCAAATCCATGGTGTGAAACATACAACTATATCTTAGTTGGAAAAAAAACTCTTCCAAGGACTCCTGTCTGGATCTCCTAGGATTTTTCAGATTCTCGTTGATCATATCCTGAAATCGGGATCAGAACAAAATGATCTTAACTCCCTTGCCTGTCCTAGTAGCCAGATGTATATATATTTTTTTTAAAAAAATCCAGTTTCCCCTCCAGAGGCACATGGAAATCTTGCGTATGGTTTCCCCAATTACGCCTTCTTAGGTCTTCCTTGTAACCTTGTTTGAGGCCAATTGGTGTGGCTATGTTGCGTTTGCAGCTGACAATCTGGAGAGTTGGGAGGACAGATGGATCGGCTTCACCACAGTTGCACGGACAGTCAGTTAATGTTGAATGTTAATAACATCAAACAACCCTTTGGTTACTAATTTGTTTCTCTTTGCATATATGCAGAGTGATCTTTAGAAATGGCCAAAAACGCTGTCTGAACCTTGATGAGGACCAAGGCAGGAGAATTCATCAGGTAAGCAGTGATTGTGAGCTTTAGCTGTGTCCGAGGATCAATAAATCAAGCTGGAACATGGAAAGAAATCTTTTTTTCCCCCATCTTTCTTTATTCCTGCACAAATAGACAGCCTCAAGCTTGGGAATCAAACATCCTAAGTAAAAGTTGGCTCAGGTATTTATATATCTATAATACACCACTCAAAAAAAATAAAGGGAACACTTAAACAACACAATGTACTGTATATATATTTAAACTGACTTTATTATTTACTGCATATCAGCCTCTGTGATTTCTTTCACAAGGTTAGCATTGATCACATCTCTCATCTTTAGCACAAAATTACTCATAGCAGGTCCTCGAAAGATCCGAATCCTAGCTCATTGCCAGACATTTCCTGCTGTGTACCTGTGACTTGTTTGCCACTTTTGCAAGGAAGCCAGCAAAGAGAGGGGAAGCTTAGACAGTCCAGAGAATAATTTAATCAGTTCTGACTCCAGGTGGCTCGTTATTCTACATAGCTGCATTAATTCCTGGCTGACTTGGTGTTTAAAACATCCCTTGAGACCTTTTCTTAGCAATGGGATTCCTTTCCTATAGAAACTATCACTTTGGCTGTTGCTTTCTCTACAATTTAAAGGGAATGTTCCTTGTTCGAAGGATTCCCTTATTATATATTCTTCATCATTTGGCTATCAACCTATGAAGAACAGTTGCAGGAGTTGGGTATGTCTAGTTCAGAGGTGGGTTTCAGCAGGTTCTGACCAGTTCTGGAGAACCGGTAGCGGAAATTTTGAGTTGTTCAGAGAACCAGTACTAAAAATTCTGACTGGCCCCGCCCCCATCTATTCTCTGCCTCCCACGTCCCAGCTGATTGGGAGGAAATGGGGATTTTGCAATAACCTTCCCCTGGAATGGGGAGGGAAAGGGGATTTTGGAGTATCCTTCCCCTGCCACGCCACCCACCAAGGCATGATATGCCCATAAGCCATACCCCCAGAACCGGTATTAAAAAATTTTGAAACCCACCACTGATCTAGTTTAATGACAAGAAGGACTCGGGTGACAGGATAGCAGTCTCCCAATATTTAAGGGGCTGCCACAAAGAAGGTTGTGTGTGTGTATGAAGCCATTCTCCAAAGTATCTAAAGGCAGGACAAGAAGCAATGGATAGAAACTAATCAAGGAGAGAGGCAACCTAGAATTAAGTAAAAATTTCCTGACAGATTACCTCCTGAAGTTGTAGAGGCTCCAGCACTGGAGATTTTTAAGAAGAAATTGGTCAACCATTTGTCTGGAATGCTATAGTATCTCCTGCTTGGACTAGAAGTCCTCCAAGTCCGTTCCAACTCTGTTATTCTGTTTCTCTGTTATTCGTTTTATGATTCTTAAGCTTTCATCAAGCTCTCAGTCAGAACATGGAGCCGAACAATCAGAAGAGGGCCATTAAATTTCAATGCAACTTTTTGTAGGTTGAGAAAACTAATCAAGTGTCCTACTTCCTCTGCTTTCTTTACAGGCAATTATGTACAGAAACAATGTCAGAAAAGGAAGTTCAAACTAAGTTTTGGAGGAGCTGCTTCACAAGTACTTCTCTTCCTTTAGATACATAACTAACTTCTGAAGATTCATAATCCATAATCCATGAACCTGATTACTGAATAAACCCAAATCCTGCATTCCCACACACTCAAAACGATAAATTTTTTTCAATATTTCAATAAATGTCATTCTCCTATTCTCTGTCTGGCCTTGAGGACACAGTACATCCTCAAAATACATTTTAACCTGATTGCTGAATAAACCCAAATTCCTTTGATTGTCACGTGCTCAAACGATAAATTTACCAAACTGGCTGATTTACGCAACCAACACATCTGACACAAAAATAAAGCTTTGCCCTAGCATCCATATCTGTATCTGATTTTGTTCAATGTATTTTTGTATTTTTGTATTTTTCAACCAATATAAAGCCTCAGGCACAAATCTGACACGATTTTAAATGTGTGTGTTTGTATTTCACTTGCAGTATATTTTTTGTTGAAAAATTTCATCATCTGACAACTGAGGCATCTGCAAGAGGGTTAAAAAAAAATCAAGATGGCTGCCACAAAGTGATCAAAGCCGCCATCTTGACTTTTTTTAACCTTTATGCCTTCGGCTAAAGGAGTGATCAAAAATTAGGAAATGGAGCATGGACCTTCCTTTCTTTCTGTGAAGCTAGCTCAATAAATGTTTCTCTTTTGAAGCTGGATTTGGCACGGAGTGGGCTTAAGAGTTGCAGGCTCAGAAAAATAAACGTATAAAAAATAGAAGACAAAACAGTTATTTGTACTTGAGCCAAAGAATACAAGATAGAGGAGTGCTAATGTTTTGGCTCATGCTAAAGGGGGGAAAAAAGATACTGGGAGCTGTGATCTGTGCTTGATTAAATTAGCTGTCATTCTGCGATCCTGTTTTGTTTCATTTCAAAATGAAACGAATTAAAGAAAATAATAATAAATAATCATTATCCTCTTTTGTGATCTCTGCCTTCTGAGGGAAGTTTGAAAAATGATCCAAGGTCACTTTTTTTCAGTGGCATTGTAACTTTGAACCGTCACTAAAGGGACTGGTTGTTAGTTGAGGATCTTCTGTAGTCCACTACTAAGTGTCAACCCCGAAGTTTGCTGAATTGAGGGCATTTTTATTTTTCTGCTTCAGTGCTGACACATACTGGAACAGAGGGATAGGAAGGGGGGGAATAGAGATACCGTGTTTCCCCGAAAAGAAGACCCTGTCTTATTTTATTTTATTTTTGCAAGCAAAAAAGGCACCAGGTCTTATTTTCAGGGGGTATGTTGTCCACTGACCTACATCACTTGCATACATCACCCCTGGCCTCCTTTTCGCTGTCAGAGGCCTTCAAGAACTTCTCCACCTTTGGATAGTTGCAACCAGTGGTGGGATTCAGCCAGTTCGCACCACTTTGGGAGAACCGGTTGTTAACTTTCTGAGCAGTTTGGTGAACTGGTTGTTGGAAGAAATCATTAGGGCAGAGAACCGGTTGTTAAATTATTTGAATCCCACCACTGGTTGCAGCCAAAGAGAGCTTAGGATCAATCCAGAGCTTTGTTATCGGCTACAGAGGCCTTCAGGAAAACCTTGCTGGCTGCAGAAGAAATGGACTGAGATGTGCGGCACCTGGCTGCAACTGTCCGAAGATAAGTAATAGGGCAGCTCCCCCCCTCCATCCCAACCCTAGCTTAATTTTTACTCATACATCTTGGAGTGGTCAGGGACTTAATTAGGGCTTATTTTGGGGAGAGGGCTTATATTGGGGAGAGGGCACCAGCGGCCTGGTGCTTAACAGCAAAGTAGGGGGGGGAGATATGGCCAGCTTGTTTCCAGCCTTACCATCTATACCAGGAATAGACCATCTGACCTGGGGGCTGGAGTCTGGAGGCGGGAGATACGAGTGGGGGAATTTATGAAGTTCTGGGGGTTGGAGAGGCTGGAGTGCAGCCAAAAACCGGTCATCTGGTCGCCTCGGTTGGTCTCTCCCCCCCCCCCCGTGTCTGTGGCCTGGTCTCCGGCTTCCCGCCTCCAGATTGTGTCCAGCTGTATGTTACCCCTCCCTTTTGAACATCTTCTCTCCCTCGGGTTTAATATCATCGTGCCTCTATGGTTCGGCTCCCTTTCTCATCTGAGCCCCCCGCTGGAGGGAGTCTGGGCAATTGTCATGCGGGAGCTGAGGGAGCTGTTGCCTTTCACCAACGGAGGAATAGACCATCTGACTTTCCTGAGCCATTTCCATCTGGCTGGGATCCTTACCTCCAAGTTTGGCGAAATGACACGGGACTCCTCCCACTGCCGTGAGAGGGCAGTGGAGTCCAGCTTACCGGCACTGAGATCCATCTTGCTCCAGCACCTTTAGACTATTTATCAAACTCCTGACCAGACTTTTTACCTCTCATCTATGTATGGCCTATACCTTGGCAGACCTGCTTGCGCTGCGAGATGCCCCCCTCTTGCGGCGATGGCCTTCCACGTTATCAAAGGCCTACCTTAAGGATGGGCTTTGGAGCCCCGAGAGGTGGCATGTTTCAAAGCGGGGATTAAGGGGTCTTTTAATTAGGGTTTTTAATAATTTTTTAAGGGGAACTGGGAGAACGACCAAAGGGGATGGGGGGGGGGTAATCCACCAAGGTCAGAGCCGAGCCCGGCACGGGGTAACGGTTTGGAGGGTACAGGACGAGGGAATGGGGAGGGGGTGGAGGGCTTTCCTAACGAGGGATGTACCATCAGCACGGTGGTTGGGAGGGGCAGATATGGCGGGAGCAGGGGACCATACCATGTGCTGGGGGCGCGCACTCGCTGTTTGAGAGCAATTGTGTGCCCCGGTCCCCAAGGCTCCTCTCGGATACTAGGTGGCTCAGATACTCAGGACCTGGGCCTGCAGCTGATGCTGTGCAATGCCAGGTCTGTGGTAAATAAGGCCCCCCTCATTCACGATCTTATTCAGGAGGGGGGAGCGGATCTGGCAGATATCACGGAGACCTGGTTGGGACCAGAGGGAGGGGTCCCTCTGGTCAAGATGTGCCCACCAGGTTTCAGAGCATTCCATCAGCCGAGAGCCCAGGGGAGGGGCAGGGTGGTGGTGGTTATTATTAAAGAAGGTCTCGGTCCGAGGGAGACCACTGTGCCTCAGATTGCCGGATGTGAGTCCCTCTTTGTGAGATGGGATCATGGGGTTCAGATGGGCTTGCTGCTTATTTACCTGACTCCCTGCTGCATGGCAGCGGCCCTGCCTGAGCTACTCGACGTGAAAGCCACGGTGGCAGTTGATACACCCAGGCTTATGGTTATGGGTGATTTCAACTTGCTGTCCGTTGGTGAAATATCTGGGATGGCTCGGGAGTTCATGGCTTCCATGACGGCCATGGACCTGACCCAGTTAGTTCATGGCCCCACTCACGGGGGGGGGAACACTCTGGACTTGATTTTTGTCTCTGGCCAGTGGTCGAGTGATCTTGTTATAGGGGATAAAGACATGGAACCCTTGTCATGGTCAGATCACTCGCTCCTCCGCCTGGACCTTTGAACCGCTATACCCCGCCGCAGGAAGGTGGAGCCAATAAGATGGGCCCGCCCCAGGCACCTGATGGATCCTGATAGGTTCCAGATGGAGCTTAGGCCATTTCCTGAGGATCTGGCACACTACTCGGCTGAGGACCCCGGCCTTGGATCGAGTCATGCCTTTGCGGCCTCTGACCCGGTGCCAATCCCTTGCGGCTCCCTGGTTTACTGAGGAGTTGAGGGAGATGAAGCGCCAGAAAAGATGCCTGGAGAGCCTGTTGGAGGGCTAGTCTCGCTGAATCTGACCGAACACTGGTAAGGTCGCATATTAAGACCTACCTAGTGGCGATAAAAGCGGCAAAGTTTAACCACTTTTCCGCTCTTATTGCATCATCAGAGAATTGTCCGGCTGCCCTGTTTAGGGTGACCCACTCCCTGCTTCACCCAGGAGCGCGGGAGGACCCCCTGGAAGGCAGGTGGAGGATTTCGGATAATATCTGTATGACAAAATCGCTCAGATCCAGGGGGAGTTGGATTCTGACTGGGTAGATTTGGACAGGGTGGCGAGGAATAGTCTTGAGAATGTTATCTGGGAAGAGTTTGACTCTGTGACCCCTGATGACGTGGACAGGATTCTGGGGAAACTTAGTGCAGCCACATGTTTACTGGACCCGTGTCCCTCCTGGTTAGTACTGACTTCCCGGGAGGTTACACGAGGCTGGCTCCAGGGAATTATTAACGCTTCCCTGAGTGAGGGTTACTTCCCCACAGCCTTGAAAGAGGCGATGGTGAGGCCTCTCCTCAAGAAGCCTTCCCTGGATCCGGCAGTATTAGCCAACTATTGTCCTGTCTCCAACCTTTGCTTTGTGGTGAAGGTTGTTGAGAGTGTGGTCGCATGACAGTTTCCACAGTACCTGGAGGAAACGTCTTATTTAGATCTGTTCCAGTCGGGTTTCAGGCCCGGGCACAGCACGGAAACGGCATTGGTCACGTTGGTAGATGATCTCTGGAGGGCTCGGGACAGAGGTTGCTCTTCTGTTCTGGCCCTGTTAGACCTCTCAGCGGCTTTTAATACCATCGACCATGGTATCATGCTGCACCGATTGGAAGAGTTGGGGATGGGGGGGCACCGTGTTACGGTGGTTCTCCTCCTTTCTCTCTGACCGGTCTCAGTTCGTGTTGGCAGGGGGGCAGAGGTCGACCTCGAGGCCTCTCATATGTGGAGTGCCTCAGGGGTCGGTTCTCTCGCCCCTTCTGTTCAACATTTATGTGAAGCCGCTGGGCGAGATCATCCATGGTTTCGGGGTGAAGTACCACCAGTATGCTGATGACACCCAGCTGTACATCTCCACCCCTGGCCACCCCAACGATGCCCTTGAAGTCCTGGTGCCTGGAGGCTGTGCAGATCTGGATGGGGAGGAACCGGCTCAAACTCAACCCTTCCAAGACTGAGTGGCTATGGCTCCCGGCATCCCGATATAGTCAGTTGACTCCATCACTGACTATTGGGGGCGAGTCTTTGGCCCCCTCAGAGAGGGCCCGCAATCTGGGTGTCCTTCTGGATATGCAGCTGTCCTTGGAGGAACATCTGGCAGCTGTGGCCAGGGGGACTTTTTGTCAGGTCCGCCTGATACGCCAGTTGCGGCCCTTTCTTGATCGGGATGCCCTGCGCACAGTCACTCATGCCCTCATCACCTCTTGCCTGGACTACTGCAACGCTCTCTACATGGGGCTCCCCTTGAGGGGCACCCGGAGGCTCCAACTGGACCAGAATGCGGCTGCGTGGGTAGTTACGGGAGCTGCATGGTGCTCCCATACAACACCTCTCCTGCGTGAGCTGCACTGGCTCCCAGTGGTCTTCCGGGTGCACTTCAAGGTGTTGGTTATCACCTTTAAAGCGCTCCATGGCATAGGACCTAGATATCTTCGAGACCGCCTGCTGCTACCGACGGTCTCCTATCGACCTGTGCGCTCCCACAGAGAGGGCTTCCTTGGGGTGCCATCAGCCAAACAATGTAGGCTGGTGACCCCCAGGGGGAGGGCCTTCTCTGTGGGGGCACCCACCCTCTGGAACCAACTGCCCCCAGAGATAAGGAGAATCCAAGACCTCGGTGCCTTCCGCGTGCCCTTAAAACCTTTTTTTTTTTCAGCAAGCCTGGCTGGCTTAACTTTTTTCTTAATTTTTTAAATGTTTTAAATGGCTTTTTTATTGTTCTTAAATTACGGGGCCAAATTTATATATATTCTTTTAATACTATTTTAATGTTTGTAATTTATGTTTTTATTCGGCTGTATACCGCCCTGAGTCCTCAGGGAGAAGGGCAGTATATAAATTGGAAAATAAATAAATAAAAAAATAAATATTGTGCGTACATGCAAAAATCAAGCTAGGACTTACTTTCTGAGTAGGTCTTATTTTCTGGGAAAACACAGTAGCTGGGATGCTGTAGCCAAAACAAAATGCTTTCCCTTGGGAACCAAGGACATTCCTGCAGGTGTTCAGAAGGAGGAGACCGAGGTCATCTAGCAACTGGACTGTAGGCTGATTGGACCATGTGACTGAGAGTCTGGGGGGGAAGGGACAAACTTTTACTTTTAATTAGGTGAAAACAGCGGGAACCTTCAGAGTCGGTTTTCACCAGATCTGTGCCAATATGATATTTCCAATAAAGCTCTTCCTTGAGGACTTCAACTGCCTCGGAGTTTTGCTTGATATGGGATTATTACTTGGAACCCTGATACCAAGTGAACTGAATTCTCTTCAAAATATTCCTGGGTTCTTACAAGAAATAACAACCAGAATCCACTGACTGCCTTAATTAATATTTTGGACTTCCCCTTAATGTGTTTGGTAGTCAGATCCTTCCTTTTCCTTGAAAACAGAGCTTTCTCCTGAAAGCTAGATGTGGTTTTCAGTTTCGAGATTGTGGTGAGTCATCAGCAAAGAGAGCGAAAAGATAATGCAGGCTATGTTGATTGTCTGATAATTTTTTTAAAGAACTAAAACGGCCAGAATTAGTTAATTAGCTTTTCTCCTAAATGCAAATTAAGAGGAAACTGTTAGAACTATTAGATATAAAAAAGATATTGAGACTCTGGAAAGAGTGCAGAGGTGATAATTAAGACGATTAGGGTGTTGGAGGCTAAAACATATCAGGACTGGTTTCAGGAACTGGATATGTCTTGTCTGGTGAAAAGAAGAACTATGAGTGAGATGATATAGTAGCAGTGTTCCAATATCTACCATGTTTCCCCGAAAATAAGACCCTGTCTTATGTTTTTTTGAATCCTGAAATAAGCACTCTGCCTTATTTTCAGGGAAGTCTTATTATTTTGGTGTGCATGGAGCAAGATGGGGCTGCTCTTGCCGTCTTACCTGATTTCCAGCTCTGTCTCCCTAACCCTAACCAGAGGAAATGGCAGGGACCAGCTGTGCTTGCGTTTAAATATTTTCGGGGAGGGCTTATTTTCAGGGACGGCTTATTTTAGCACATGCGCTCAAAAGCCCAATTTGGCATATTATCTGGGGAGGTCTTATTTTTGGGAAAACACGTTAGGGGCTGCCACAGAGAAGAGGCGGTCAACCTATTCTCCAAAGCATCTAAAGGCAGGACAAGAAGCAACAGATAGAAATTAAACAAGCAGAGAACCAATCTAGAAAGAAGGAGAAATTTCCTGACAGTGAGAACAATTAAGTGTGGTGATTAATACTCTGCAGCATGTATAAAAAGACTTTATAAAGCCCTAGTAAGACCACAACTGGAATTCTGCAACTAATTCTGGTCACCATACTACAAAATAGATGTTGGGACTCTAGAAAAAGTGCAGAGAAGAGCAACAAAGAGGACTAGGAGGCTGGAGACTAAAACATATGAAGAACAGTTACAGGAACTGGGCATGGCTAGTTTAGTGTTTGTTTTATGTTTGTTTTATTAAATTTATATACCGCCCTACTCCCGAAGGACTCAGGGCGGTGAACAGGCACAGAATAAAATAAATAAATACAAAAGTTAGAAACATAATTAAAACCAGATTAAATAATTTAGGCCGAGACAATTAAAAATCCCAATAATTTAAAACAAATTAAAATTCCAATTTAAAAATTTAAAAGAAAGGGGAGAAAATTAGGCCAGGCCGGCTTGCTGGAATAGGAGGGTCTTAAGAGCACGGCGGAAAGTGCGCAGATCCGGGATCCTCCGTATCTCCGGGGGGAGCTCATTCCAGATAGTGGGTGCCCCCACAGAGAAGGCCCTCCCCCTGGGGGCCGCCAGTTGACACTGCTTGGCTGACGGCACCCGGAGGAGCCCCTCTCTATGAGAGCGTACCGGCCGGTGGGAGGCTGTGAAGAGAAGGACCAGGGGAGACAAGATTGCAGTGGGAGGAGGAAGCTGGGAGGAGGATAAACTGGTCCCAGGGACATGGGGGGGGGATGTGACATGTCTCAAGGTAACTCCAAGCCGGGAGGAAGCACAATCTCAAAGATCTGAGGCCAGACCTGGGTAGAACTGAATCAGGAACGCTCAGGAACTGTGACGCAACAAAAAAACTTTAATTAGGCCGGAGCCTCAATACTCAATGAGTGCAAGTTGAATGAGTCTGTTGCAAAGTCAGAACTGGGAGCATTCACCTCCCAGCATGCTTTATCAGCAAGGCTCCACGCCCTTTGGCTGGCTGGACATGCCCCCTCCCTATAGCCAGTGGTGGGATTCAAGTAATTGAACAACCGGTTCTCTGCCCTAATGATCTCTTCCAACAACCACTTTGCCAAACTGCTCAGAAAGTTAACAACCGGTTCTCCCGAAGTGGTGCGAACTGGCTGAATCCCACCACTGCCTATAGCCACCCTTCGGTGAACGTCCGAGGTCTCTGGAAGCACTGCGCGACCTCCACAGATGGTGCCCAAGGAGCGGCAGCTGGATCTCCCATCAGCCGTGGCAGCACTCCTCGCCGATCTCCGGCAAGCTCAGCCTGTAACAGGACGGCACCAACAGCCACCTCACTGGAGCGGTCCCAGGGGGAGTGGCCAGATAAACAGGCGGTTGAACACGGGCAGTTGAGGCACAGCTGCAGCAGGACAGCTCTGTCAAGATGGATGAGGGAAAACAGCCTCCTCCAGCCGATCTGAGAGCACGCAGGGCAGAGAAGAGGCAGGAGCGACAGCAGTGAGACCAGCTACCTACAAGGCAGAATAAATGGATGCTTGTAAACGAAGGATTACCTGTATTTTTTTAAGTAAATGAAAAAAAAAACAACCCAGAAAATTATAAAAACTAATTCTTTTTCTTTTATTATTTAGTATCAGTAATATTTCTTTACTTTATCATAGCTTAAAACCGGCACGAACATTGACAATGAGAGCAGTGTTTTTCAAACGTGGCAACTTTAAGATTTACTTGAAAAACAGTGACTAGAATAATAACAATAGCACTTAGACTATATACTGCTTCATAGTGCTTTTACAGCACTAAGGAGGGCTGAGTCAACCTTGAGCTGGTCAGGATCAAACTGCTGGCAGTTGGCAGAATCAGTCTGTGATACTGCAATCTAATCACTGTGCCACTATGGCTTCCTTCCTTACCTCTCATTTCCATTCCTTTCTTCTTATTTCCCTCCCTCCCTCCCTCCCTCCCTCCCTCCCTTCCTTCCTTCCTTCCTTCCCTCCCTCCCTCCCTCCCTCCCAATAGCACTTAGATTTATATACTGCTCCACAGTGCTTTACAGCCCTCTCTAAGCAGTTTACAGAGTCAGCATATTGCCTCCAAACAATCTGGGTCCTCATTTTACTGACCTTGGAAGGATGGAAGGCTAGTCAACCTTGAGCCAGGATCAAACTGCTGGTGGTTGGCAGAGTTAGCCTGCAATACTGCCTTCTAATCACTGCGCTCTTCACTCATAAAAAGGTGAAAGAATAAACCACAGGCCACGGGGGTTCAAACAGTCAAATCAAAAACCACATCCCGGCTTGAATGCCAAAATCTCAAACATTGGCTCATCAGCAACTTAAATTACTATGAAAGGTGCTGACCTGTTAAGATGATTGCTTAGTGGTTCCACAGACATGTCTACTCATGAGGAAAAATATCAAATTAAAAAACAAAGCACAGTTTTTGGAAAAGGGAACCTGCAGTCCACGATCGTGGGTGTTGTGACCTTAGAGAATGGTTTCTTTGAAAATGTAAATACATGGGAAGTGAAAGTGAGTAGGATGGGGATTCCCTGACGCATAACGGGGGGGGGGGGAGAATCTAGGCAATAAATAAGCTGTTCACCCCGACAAGAACACCACTTCTCTCTCCAGACCACAAGCGGGAAACCGGACTCAGCGCAGAGATGCTCAAACAGACTTTCCTCACCGTCCTTGTCCTTCTGGCTTGCTGGGTGGCTCTCATGGAAGGTAAAAAAAAAACGATCTTGTTCTCTTTTTTGGTTCTAGAAGGGAGGCATTTCCAAGCTCGCATCCAGATGTTCCTAACCCTTTCCCTGTTTCTTCTGCTTCTCGCTCCTTCGTGCAATTTCTTTGCATAATTTTGGGTAACCTTTTGGTAACCTGGAAAGAAGAAGAAGAAATAACACTTTCGCTGTTGCTTTCTCTAGGATTGTAAAGGGTTTTTTTTTTCTCTGTTTGAAGGGTTCCCTTTTTTATTTATTTTTATTCTTCATCGTTTTATAGCCTTAAGCTGACATCAAGCTAAAACAGAGGAAGAACGGTTGCTAGGAATTGGGTATGTTTAGTCTCATGGAAGAGGCACAATAGCTCAACGGTTAAGGATGCTGTGCTTATCAGCTTTTCTGCCGACAACCCAGGCCACACAATAGGGTGAGCTCCAGTTCGTTGCCTTGGCTCCTAGCAACCTAGCAGGAACCATGTAACATGCAAGTAGATCAATAGGTACCACTTTGGTGGGAAGGTAACAGCACTCCATGATGTCCTGCTGGCCACATATCTGCAGGAATGTCTTCGGACAGTGTCAATGAAATGGAGATGAGAACTGTCCCCCTAGAGTAGGGCACAATTGGACAGTGGAAACCATCCCTAACCTTACCTTAAGTCTGATGGAAAGAAGGGGTGACATGATAGTCGTCTTCCAATATTTGAGGGGCTGCCACAAAGAAGTGGGGATCAACCTATTTTCCAAAGCACCTCAATGGGTGGAAACTAATCAAGGAAACAGCCATCCTAGAATTAAGGAGAAATTTCCTGACAGTGAGAACAGTTAAAGAGTGGTTTATCTTCAGAAGTTGTGGGTTCTTCATCACTGGAGGCTTTCAAGAAGAGATTGGACAACCCTTTGTCCGGAATAGCATAGAGTCTCCTGCTTGAGGAGGACATTGGACTAGAAGACTTCCAACTCTGTTATTCAGTTATTCGGAGTCTCCTTCTCTATTCTTAATCCTCTGAAATGTCTGTTTCTGACTTTGAAGTGGAGAAGACAGAGTTGAAAGAAACTGGATCAGGGAAGTAACATGGGAAGAGTTTAGGGTTAGGGAACGTAGCTATTAAGCCCATTATGGGAATGCATTTATAATTGAAACCATGCATGCAATTTATGTATCGCCTCTATTTTGACAGGTTCTTAATCTCAAGGTTCCCCTTTTAGGACAGATTCCCATGTTTCTTATGTAGCATTTCAGGTATTTTGTAAAAAAAAAAAAAAAGTTCATGAAAGTTAGTTGGTGGGGAAAATAGCAGGGGGTGAATTTAACCAGTAAATTAGGTGTTGGCCAAGATACCACAACTAGGAAAGGAGACGCAACACAAAGATGACCAAAAGCAAGCTTCCTTCCCATCCTTGTTTTTCTGGCTTCCTGTGTAATTCTCATGCAAGGTTAAATGATCTGATTCCTTTTTGTTTTTTATAATTGATTTTAGAAGAGGGGCATTTCCAAGTTCATCCAGATTTTCAAGAGTGGGCTGTACTCCAATAGACCCTTTTCCTGGTTCTTCTACTTCTTGCTCCTTCCTCTTTTGTGCAAATTGTTTGTATGTCCTCTACTCACCGTCCTGTTTAATGTCCGTTTCTGGCTTTGACAATTATCATTAGAGAAAGTATAAGTTTCTGAGTTTTAGTTGGGATAGGAATTTTTTTTTCATGAAGGTTGCTGAATAAGTCATAATACAGCTTGATTTTACTTTAGTGTAGTGCACAAATACTGAGGAAAGAAAGAAAGAAAGGGAAAGAAAGAAAGAGCCTTGATAGTACAGTGGTATACGCACCCTGTTATTAACACAGCTGCCTGCAATTTCTGCTGGTTCGAATCTCTCCAAGGCTCAAGGTTGACTCAGCCTTCCATCCTTTCTAAGGTAGGTGAAATGAGGACCCAGTTTGTGGGGGCAATAAGCTGACTTTGTATAAAATATACAAAAGTATGAAGGCTATTGCTTAACGCATTGTAAGCCGCCCTGAGTCTCCGGAGAAGGGCGGCATATAAATCAAATTTTAAAAAAAGAAAGAAAGAAAGAAAGGGAAAGAAAGAAGGAAAGAAAGAAGGAAGGAAGGAAGGAAGGAAGGAAGGAAGGAAGGAAAGAAAGAAAGACAGAAAGAAAGAAAGAAAGAAAGAAAGAAAGAAAGAAAGAAAGAAAGAAAGAAAGAAAGGCAAGTTGACTTTTTTGATTAGGGAGAAACCAGTAGCTAAATATTTTAGGGTCTGATTTATGGGTTTGATAATTAGAAAGATTAGAATATGGAAAGAAGGGAGACACAATGTAATCATAGACAGACGGGATAAAATATAAATATATTTATAACTGTAAAAAAGATGAAAAGTCACTGCTTTTTATCTTTTTCTTCTTTTTGGCCCCTCTTACTTCTTATTTATTCCACTTTCCTTTTTTCCTTTAAATTTCTATTGTTTTCATTTTGTATCAAAACTTTTCAACATTAAAAAGAAATAGACTGATGGATGGATGGAATGGACAGGAAGATAGATAATACAAATTACAGTATATCGTGATGATATACTGTAATTAGTACAATGGAAGGTTTGCAAGCAAACACCTCCCATACATTTTATCAGTGTTTCTCAACCTCAGCAATATTAAGGTAGATGGACTTCAACTCCCAGAATTCCCCAGCAGAGGAATTCTGGGAACTGAAGTCCACTCACCTTAAAATTGCTGGGTTGAGAAACACTGTTTTAGATGATGGTAAATGATGGGTGAAGTATTCACCTTCTTTATATGATTTTTTGCAGGAATTCCCAGCGCGGGTCGGGAGCGCTGTTTATGCAAAGGTTTGAGAAATTCTGTGCAAAAGAACCGTATAGTTAAAACTGAGTACCACCGGCCAAGCACCACCTGCAGTCGAGAGGAAGTGATGTAAGTAGTTGAGCAGAATCTTGATGCCTTCTCCTACTGAAGCTATTGAATTGCCAAAATGTTCATTGCTAAGTGAGACAGTTCTTAAGTAAGTTTTGCCCCCTTTTACAACCTTTCATGCCAGAGTTGTTAAGTGAATCACTGACGTTGTTCAATTAGTAACAGGGAGACACCCAGCTGCTCTGTCATAGTAACACGGTCGTAAAATGAATCTGGCTTCCCCATCGACTTTGCTTGTCAGAAGGTTGCAAAAGGTGATCACATGACCCCGGGACACTACAACAGTCATAAGTACATGCCAGTTGCACGCATCCGAAATAAAAAACACTCTCTCTCTCTCTCTCTCTCTCCCCTCTCTCCCTCTCTCTCCCTCTCTCTCTCGTCTCCATATTTCACCTCAAAGTGGAAAGCATTTTTCAGGATACTCATATCTATTTCAGCCTGCTGGGTCTCTCTTTATTTTCAGCCATAGAAATTTCTGCCTTATACTTTTCAGATTGTGCCATTCCTATCTGGTGATAAAATCCATGCCAAGTAAAAATTTGAACTATGTAGTCCATGACAACACAAGGTTCTTCCACCATCAGTTTGCCAGTTTGGTGTACTGGTTAAGATATCTGGGAGATCCTGAGTTAGAAACTGGGTGATCATGAGTTCTAGGCATGAAATCTTAGGCATGAAAGCCAGCTGGGTAACTTTGGACCAATTGCTAGATGATGGTGAGTTCTAGTTCTGCTATGAATGCATGAATGTTGACTGGGTGACTTTGGACCAGTCATTCTTTCTCAGTTTGGCCCATCTCGTAGGGTTACTGTTGTGGATTAAATAGGAAGAGTACTGGCATGTTCACCACTTTGAGTTATTTATAAAAATAATAAAGGTGGGATATTATTATTATTTTATTATTATTATTTATTGAATTTGTATACCGCCCTACTCCCGAAGGACGCAGGGCAGTGAACAGCCAAATAAAATACATATAATACAAATGTTAAAAAACCATTAAAATACAATTAAATAATTGGCCCGGAAACGAAATTTAAAACACCCCAAATTCATAAGACAAATTTAAAATTTAAAAAGTTATTTAAAAAGTTTAAAAGAGAGGTTTGGCCAGGCCGGCCTGCTGAAAAAGAAATGTTTTGATGGCACGGCGGAAAGCACGCAGGTCCGGGATCCTCCGTATCTCTGGGGGGAGCTCGTTCCAGATGGCAGGTGCCCCCACAGAGAAGGCTCTCTCCCTGGGGGCCACCAGTAGACATTGTTTGGCCGACGGCACCCTGAGGAGCCCCTCTCTATGGGAGCGTACTGGTCGGTGAGAGGCTACTGGTGGCAGAAGGTGGTCTCATAGATACCCCGGTCCTAAGCCATGGAATAAATATCATTGGAATCCTTCAGTCTCAAGAGACTATGGTATCGTGCTCTGGAAAGAGGTCCTAAAACAGCATCTAGTGTGACTAAAAAGGCCAATTCGAGAGCGGCAATCCCTTCCACACTGAAGGCAGATACATTCTGTCCCCTGCCCAGCCCACATAAATAAAACAAACAACTAAATAAATCAAGGTGCCACCAGAATGAGCAACAATCAAGGTGTCCCAAACTGAATAAGGATGGGGAAACATAGATTTAAAAAAAAAAAAAAAGGCAGACAACTTTTGTTTTTATGCTTGAGATTCACGGAGGATAACAAAAGTGAGGGAATCTTAGAGATGGCTTAAACTGACTGAAGGGGCGTGGTGGCTCAGTGGCTAAGATGCTGAGCTTGTTGATCGAAAGGTCGGCAGTTCAGTGGTTCGAATCCCTAGTACCGCGTAGCGGGGTGAGCTCCTGTTACTTGTCCCAGCTTCTGCCAACCTAGCAGTTCGAAAGCATGTGAAAAATGCAAGTAGAAAAATAGGGACCACTTTTGGTGGTGTAGGAAGAAATATCCTTCTGGGTTCAGCTCCAAGTGGGGAAAAAGACACTGGAAACATGGAGACTGCTTGGAAAGATGGTTTAATGGTGGACAGGATCACATGGCTTGAGTTCCTGAACAGAAAAGGGACCAGATACAGCGAGTCCCGGGTTTTATGCTCTCTCTGGCTTTGAACTTCCTGGGGCCCAGAAAGTGTATCCTGATTGGTTGTCAGACTCCCAGGGGGTGGGGGTCTTAGCTAGCCTTGCTGGCTGATGTAATCTTCCCAGGTGCCATGTGGGGAGTTTCTGCTACTAGATGAGTCCCATTGTGTTAGTTTCTGTTGCTAGATGGTCCCTATTGTGTTGCAGATGATGATCCTTTGTCAAAGGATTGAGTTTCTGCCTCTGGCCCATTGACAAAGGGTAGGTGGGAGCTGTTTTGTCTTTAAAACATGCTTCTCCATTTCTCATACAGGGAAACATAATATTCTGCCTTTTTAATATTTCCTAAAATATTTCATCTTCTAGGAAAGGGGTGGGTGCTAACTTCCTACAGTGGGAAGGTAACAGCATTCCGTGCATCTTTGGTGTTTAGTCATGCTAGCTGACTGAAATGTATGGAATTAAATGCTTTCCATGCTGACCTACAGTGTAGAAGAGAGAGGGAGGGAGGGAGGGAGGGAGAGAGAGAGAGAGAGAGAGAGAGAGAGAGAGAGAGAGAGAGAGAGAATGGATTGCACAAAGTAAAGTTATCTTTAGTCAACTGGTGTGAGTATGTTGAGTTTGCAGCGGACAATCTGGAGAGGTGGGAAGGCAAGTGGGCAGGCTTCACAACAGTTGCATTGAGAGTCAATTAATGATGAATGCTAATAACACCAAACAATCCTTTGTCTAATCTGGTCTTTAATTTGGTCTCTTTGCATTTATGTAGAGTGACGCTTAGAAACAACCAAAGACTTTGTCTGAACCTGAACGGGGACCAAGGCAGGGAAATTAAAAAGGTAAGTAGCGAACACGTTGGAATGTTAGCTTGTTTGTGTTTTTATGAGGACTAATAAATCAAGCTGGAACGAGGCAATACATCTTTTTTCAGCTGTTTATTTCCGCAGAAATAGCCTGAAGTGTGGCTCAGATATTTATATAAACAAAAATTGTTATTTGCCACATGTCAGTCTCTGTAATTTCTTTCACAAGGTTACCATTCAGCCTTTTTACTTATCACATTTGTCATGTTTCGTACAAAATTACTCATAGCAGCTCCTCAAAACTTCCGCATCTTAGCTTCCGAATCTTAGCTCGCGGTCAGATGTTTCCTGCTGTTTAATTGTGGCTTGTTTGTCAGTTTTGCAAGGAAGCCAGCAAAGAGAGGGGAATCTTAGACAGTCCAGTGGATAATTTAATCAGTTCTAACTACAGGTGGCTCGTTATTCTACGTAGATGGATTCATTCCTGACTGACTTGATCTTCAAAACATTCCCTTGAGACCTTTTCTTGAGGATGAGATTCCTTTCCTATAGAAATTACTTTCTCTACGATTTAAAGGGGACTTTCCCTTTTTGAAGGATTCCCTTATTTTATATTCTTCATCATGTTATATTATTTAACCATCATCAGGTTAAAACATATGAAGAACAATTGCAGGAATTGGGTATGTCTGATCTAGGGAAAAGAAGGACTCTTCGGGGGTGAAATTCAGCAGGTTCTGACAGGTTCTGGAGAACTGGTAGCGGAAATTTTGAGTAGAAGAAACAGATGGGAAGTAATCAAGGAGAGAGGCAACCTAGAACTAAGGAAAAATTTCCTAACCATGAGAACAATTAATCAGTAGAAGGACTTGCCTCCAGAAGTTGTGGGTGCTCCAACACTGGAGGTTTATAAGGAGAATAGAATAGAATAGAATAGAACAGAATAGAATAGAATAGAATAGAATAGAATAGAATAGAATAGAATAGAATAGAATAGAATAGAATAGAATAGAAATTAGATGACGGATGGAATGGAATGGAATGGAATGGAATGGAATGGACTCAGTCAGAACATGGATCAGAAGAACGGGTTAAAAAGGCAATATTTTGTAAGTGGAGAAAACTAATCAAGTGGCTCACATTTTATGCTTCCTTTACAGGATATTTTGAACCGAATGAAGGCCAAATAATGAAGTTCAAGCCAACTTTTGAAGAAGCTGCTTCACTTCCTATGGACATGTAATCAGCTTGTGAAGGACTCATCATCTATGACACTCAAATTGGAACCACTGATCCAACAGCGTTATATATGGATTTAGAAGTAACCCCAGTACTTCCTGTAGCAATTTATTTAAAAAAAACCGAGTATATGAACTATGTAATGAGGCAAAAAGGCTGTGATTTTTGTTTTGTTTTTGACATTTCTGACCACGGCAGGTCTTCAATCTTCCAAATCAAACAAGCTATATGACAATGTCAAATTGGCGTACTTAATTCCTGAATATTTTTATGCTTGTTACACCAATACAAGATAGTCCTCGATTTACGACCACAATTGAGCCCAAATTTCCGTTCGTTAAAAGTGAGTTTAGAAGCTAGAGACTATGAGAGCAGAATTAAGACAGGGTTAGAAGAAATGACCCAACAACATATTGATTTAAAACCTGAGCTGTTCCTATTGGGTATACTACCAGAGAAAATTAGTAAAGAAAATATATACTTGATTATACATATAATAACTGCAGTGAGGATAGCATTTGCGCAAAGATGGAAAGCAGAGAAAATCCCTTTGGAAGGGGAAGTAATTAAAAAAATCTTAAATTGTGCAGAAATGAACAGATTGATGATTAAAGAGAGAGAGAGGATACGGACTACTATAAGATAAGGGGGAAATTTTATGATTGCTTAAAAAAGAGATATAGATAAAAATTGTGATAATTAAATAAGGAGAATGTTATATTAAATGTATTGTAATTTGGGGGGAAATATCGCAACAGAGAAATGGAAATTATCAAGGAGAAATGAAGATAGGAGGAGGAATAAAAAGAAGAAGAAGTCACGGAAGAAACACCGAGAAGACACACGAAAGGATTGATGTATTATGTGTTTGTTTGTTTTATTATTAATTATAATTAAATTTAATTATATTAAAAAAAAAAGTGAGTTTTGTTCCATTTTACCTTTTTGCGGCAGCTCCTAAGTAAATGAGGACCCAGATTATGGGGGCAATAAGATGACTTTGTATAAATATACAAAAGTATGAAGGCTATTGCTTAACGCATTGTAAGCCGCCCTGAGTCTCCGGAGAAGGGCGGCATATAAATCAAATTTAAAAAAAAAAAATCACTGCAGCTGTTAAGTGAGTAACATGGTTGTTAAGTGACTCTAGCTTCCCCATTGACTTTGCTTGTCAGAAGGCCACAAAAGGGGATCATATCACCCTGGGCGGTGGTGGGTTCCTCCCTGTTCAACCCAGTTCCACCGAGCCGCTAGCGGTGACGATATGATGTCACCAAACCGGCTCTTTCTCCCCCGCCCCCCTGTGTTATTCTTACCTTTTATTTGGCCCCACCCCCAATCTATTGCTGCCTCCTGAGTCCCAGCTGATCAGCTAGAAGGAAAAAAACTGTTTAAGCTCTTGCTGCAGGGCTTCAAAGGGCCGCCCTACAGCTGATCAGTGTTAAAAGGCAGGGTGGTGGTAGACTGGTGCCTCCAAAAACAAATGAGTAGATCGGTGCCTGCAAAAATAAATGAGTAGACAGTTAAAAGCCTGGTAGACCAGTACCTCTGCTAAATCCTAAAGAATTGTCACATGACCATCAAGCCACGCCCACAAAATAAGCCACGCCCACATAAACGGTAGTAAAAAAAATTAGAACCCACCCTGTCCCTGGGACACTGCAACCGTTATAAATACATGTCAGTTGCCAAGCATTTGAATTTTGATCACGAGGATGCTACAACGGTTCTAAGTGTGCAAAGAATGTCATAAGTCACTTTTTTCAGTGCCATTGTAACTTCAAACAGTCGCTAAATGAATGGTTGTAAGTCAAGGACTACCTGTAGTGTACTTTATCTTAGTTATACCATTATACCACTTCCATTCCTAATCATGAACTGTGTGTGTTGTAATGTTGCAGTCCAAGCTTCACAATTTTTTTTTAGTAGCTTTACAACTTTGTGTACCTCAATCCAGTGGTGAAATCTAAAATTTGTTACTACCGGTTCTGTGGGCGTGGCTTGGTGGGGGGGGTAATGTGACTGGGTGGGCGTGGCCACTTTTTGTTTTTAACTTTTAAAACTTTTAAAACCATTTTTTTCTACATGCTAAAATGCTTTCAAAAGGCTCTGACGATCCCAGCCGAGTTGCTTTTACGAGCTTTCTTGACACAGTTGTCACATGAATCTCTGCCGTCATTCAGTGAATCACACCGTTGTTAAATGAATCTGGCTTCCCCCTTGACTTTGCTTGTCAGAAGGTCGTAAAAGGGGATTGCGTGACCCCCGGGACACTGCAACCATCATAAACATGGACCATTAGCCAAGCATGCAAATTTTGATCACGGAGAGAGCACCGAGAATTGCAACAGTATGAAAAACAGTTTAAGTCACTTTTTTTCAGTGCCACTGTTGCTTTGAAGAGTCACTGAGCAAGAGGTTGTAAGTTGAGGACTTTCTGCAGTCCACTACCAAGTGAGTTGAATTCCCTTCGATTGCTGAGTTCTTACAAGAAATAACAACCAGAATCAACCGGTGGTCTTACTGAGAATTTCTTGGTTTTCCCCTTAAACAGACAGTCAGATTCCTTCCTTTTCCTGGAAAACAGAGATTTCTCCTAAAAGCCAAATTCAGTTTCAGTTTCAAGCTCATTGTGAGTCATCAGCAAAGAGAAGAGAAAGAAATGTAAGCTACAGTGGCTGTCTGACCTTTTTTTAAAAAAAACACCACTAAATTTATTTTTTTTAATTTATTTTTATTTTTATTTATTTTCATACGCTGCCCTTCTCCGGAGACTCAGGGCGGCTTACAATGCGTTAAGCAATAGCCTTCATACTTTTGTATATACCTGCTTAGTAGGGCTTTCGACCCCCCCCCCAAGTGGTGTTCTTTTTTATACAAAGTCAGCTTATTGCCCCCACAAACCGGGTCCTCATTTTACCCATCTTAGAAAGGATGGAAGGCCGAGTCGACCTTGAGCCTGGTGAGAATTGAACTCGCGGTAATTGCAGGCAGCTGGATGTTAAATGCTGCCTTAGTAGGAGGCATTAGCCTCCATTAATTACTGGTAGATTTTTTTTCCCCTAAATGCAAATTATAAAAAAGATGTTGAGACTCTGGAAAGAATGTAGAGAAGAGCAGTTAAGATGATTAGGGGACTGGAGGTTAAAAGATATGAAGAACGGTTACAGGAATTTGGGTATGTCTAGTAGTTTCATGAAAAGAAGGGGAGACATGATAGCAGTCTTCCAATATTTCAGGGGTTGCCCCAAAGAAGAATGAGGTCAACCTTTTCTCAAAAGCACCTTGAAGGCAGGACAAGAAGCAATGGATGGAAACTAATCAAGGAGGCAGCCAATCTAAAATTAAGTAAAAATTTCATGTCAGTGAAAAAAAAAAATCAGTGGATAGCTTGCCTCCAGAAGTTGCTGCTGCTCCATCATTGAAGGTTTTTAAGAAGAGATTGGACAGCCATTTGTCTGAAATGGTATAGGGTATCCTGTTTGAGTAGGGGGTTGGGCTAAAAGATCACCAATGTCCTTACAACTCTGAAGAGGAGGAGGAAGAGGAAGAAGAGGAGGGGTTCCAATTTGCTGCTCCAAATTTATAAATTTACAAGTTTAGTGACATATAAGTAGTCCTCAACCTACAACCATTTTTTAGCGACCATTTAGTGAAGTTGCAACAATATTGAAAAAAGTAATGTATGGAGGATCAAATACCATTTTTCCTTAGTTATTTTGTCTGGTTTCATTCCTAATAAAAAAAAACTTGATTTTTTGATCCTCCACATCACTACTGAGCTAGGATACTATACGCGCAAGAATGGAAAAACGAATTAATACCCACAGAAAATAAATTGATTTGGAAAATTACAGAAGGTGCAGAGGCAGACCAGTTAACGAAATTACTTAGGAACCAAAAAGATTCTGATTATTACAAATGTTGGAATTTATGGTATAATTGGGTGAAAGAAAAGAGAGGGAAATGAAATGGATTGTATTAGTGGTATAGGCGCAGATTTCTGTACGTTAGTTGCAATAACCTTGTATGTATATATGTAAAGTATTGTATTTTTAAAAATGAAAATAAACTTTATTTAAAAAAAAAAAGAAAGAAAGAAAAAAGTAATGTATGATTGGTCCACTCAAATGCTTTGGCCACCAAATGAGAAGGAAGGACTCACTGGAGAAGAGCCTAATGCTGGGAAAGACTGAGGGCAAAAGAAGAAGGGGACAACAGAGAACGAGGTGGCTGGATGGAGTCACTGAAGCAGTCGGAGTGAGCTTAAATGGACTCCGGAGGACAGTAAAGGATAAGAAGGCCTGGAGGAACGTTGTCCATGGGGTCGTGATGGGTCGGTCACGACTTTGCAACTAATAACAACAAATGATTGGTCCTCGCACTTACAATCAACTTCCCCATGGGTCATATGATCAAAATTCAGGTGTTTGGAGAGGTTGCAAATGATAACCACATGACTCCAGATGTTGCAACCAAATAAATGCCAGTTGCCAATCACCCTGAATTTTGATCATGCGACCATGGGGATGCTGCGATGGTTGTAAGTGCGAGGACCTCCTTCTCCCGACCTTGGAAGGATGGAAGGCTGAGTCAGCCTTGAGCTGGTCAGGATCGAACTGCTGGCAGTCAGCAGAATTAGCCTATAATATACTGCATTCTAACCATTGTGCCACCATAACTCTAGCGTGGTCTTGGTGGTTGGAGAAGACAAATGGCCTCCATTGATCATACGATATATAGACATCAGCTATTAGACAGGTTGTCCTCAATTTATGACATAAGTGCAATCGGAATTTTCCTTGCAAAGCAAGATGGTTGTTAGATGAGTGGCATCCAATTTTAGGCCCCTTTTGCTTGTTAAACAAATCATTCCAGTTGTAAAGTGAACCATGCAGTTGTTAAGCGTTTCCCCCATTGTGGCAAGCTAGCTGGGAAGGTTGCAAATGGTGATCACATGACCCCGAGCTAGCACAACCATTGTGAGTACATGCCGTTTCTCATGTGACCCCACTGGGATGGTTTGATGGTTATAAGTCATGTTTTTAGTGACACTGTAACTTCAAATTGTCACTAAGCAAATGGCTGTAAGTCAAGGATTACCTGTACTGTTTGCTCAACAAATGTGGTTGTTCAAATTGTTGACCAAGTAAACAATTTAGGTGTATCTCTTTTCTGCCACAGATATTAAGGAATCATCGCAGTGGTTAAGTTAATAACAGAGTTGTTACGGTAAGTAAATTAAACTCCACCATTGACTTTGTCAGAAAGTCGCATAAGGTGATCACATGATCCCAGGACACTGCTACCATCATAAATGTCCCAAAGGAGCTTTTTTCAACAGGCAACTGGACGTTTTTGTTTTTCTTTGAAGACATTTCGCTTCTCATCCAAGAAGCTTCTTCAGCTCTGACTGGATGATGGAGAATGGAAGGATTTATACTCCTTGCAGACATCTGGTCATTTGCATTCTTTTAAGGAGTCCTTGAGGCCACCTGGAGGTTTATCTGTGCCATCAGGGTCACCTGAGTAGTGCAAATGGGTGTAGAGCCTTCTTGGAACTGCTGAATGAACTCTGTTGTGGACTGGAGATAGTTCATGTGGTATCCCTCCCTCTCTGTTTAAAGAGGGCTGTTCAATTTTAACATAGATGGTCTCTTTGACCCTTCTTTCAAACCAACAGTCTTCTCTGTCCAAAATGTGGACTTTGCTGTCTTCAAAAGAGTGGCGTTTGTCTTTCAAATGCAGATGGACTGCTGAATCTTGTCCTAATGGATTTCTTCTCTTATGTTGTGCCATGCGTTTGTGAAGTGGTTGTTTTGTTTCCCCAATGTACAGATCTGCACATGTTTCACTGCATAGTACTGCATATACGTTGTTCCGTTTGTGTCTGGGTATGTTATCCTTGGGGTGGGCAAGTTTCTGCCTTAGTGTATCCTTGGATTTAAAGTGTGCACGTATGTTGTGTTGGCTGAAGATCCTCCTTTTCAGCTATTCCTGCAACGTATGGAATGACAACGTTGGGGACAGGCATAACCTGGATTGACTGAGAATCTCCATAGACAACCGTCATAAATATGGATCAGTTGCCAAGCATCTGAATTTTGATCACATCGCCGTGGAGATGCTGAAACGGTCGTAAGTGTGAAAAACGGTCCTCAGTTGCTTTTTTTCAGTGCCATTGTAACTTTGTACGGTCACTGAATGAATTATTATAAGCCAAGGACATTTTAATTCAAGGCTTGTAGGTGTCAGCAAAGACAAAGAGAGCTTGTGTCGAGATGCTAAACAGAACTGAAAGTGAAAACTTTCCATTTCCTAAAACAGGAACTTTTTCCTGGTATTTGCAGTCGGGTGGGACTTTCCCTTAAGCAATTAAAAGGACCAATCAGCTTTCAGGGAGGGAGAATTCTCTCCCTATAAATCACAGCATCTGCTACTAGAGAGAATGAACACTCAAGAACTTGCATTACTATGGAGAAAGTCTGTGCTATATCTCTCATTTTGCTTCTCCTGCTTGCAGTGGGAACAGAAGGTAAGGAAAAATGACAGCATTTTGGGGGGCTGAGCATGTTTATCCTAGAATATGAATTGATTAATTTCTGGAAATTAATTTGCTTTGCTGGCTGGGGAATTTTGGGAGTTGAAGTCCACCCATCTTAAAGTCACCAAAGTTTAAAGAGATACTGGTCAGTTAAATTATTTTGTTAAAGCTCAGAGCAAGTCTCTAATACAAATTTTCACTGTTAGTGTTGATAAGGTGTAGTGTATACCAGTATTAAGGAAACAGCAAGCCACTGGTTACTTGACATCTTAAAAATATATTATTTTTAAATCTTGCAATAGGAAAAAACAAATGAGTTTTTCAGGGCAATTTTTCAGCGAGAAATTCTAGGTTTTGTGGCCATTTTGCAACTAGGGTTGCCAGGTCTGCTTCCCAAAAATAGCGGACAAGCAGGGTGGGGGGTGGGGGGTTAAGTAGTAAAAAAATAAATAAAAAATTTACAATTAAATTATATATTTCCTTACAAACATTTTAACACGTATTAAAATAATCACTTCAAAACTTTACTTAAAATTCAAAACATCAAATATATTATAATAACATGTAAAATACTAAATTACATTTTAATTTCATCATAAAGCCTTTGAATAAAAAATATGTCCACTATTTTGTGAAAAAAAATAGTGAACATAATATGAAAAAAGCGGACTGTCCGCTCAAATAGTGGACACCTGGCAACATTATTTGCAACAGTGCAAAAGCATTTGCACTTGTTGTGGCCCGCCAGCGGCCTGCGCGGATTGTTGCTGATCCTGACAATGAGGAGGCTGGTGTGGTGCTGCGCCAGCAGCCTGTGCAGCCGGCGCTCAAGTCAGATAGCGAGGAGGCTGAAGAAGATGTGATGCCAGAGGCAGGGATTCAGTCAGGGCCTTCAAAACCTCCAGAAGCTCCTTTAAGTGAAGAGGGTGAAGAGGAGGAGCCTCTTCTCGATGCACGGGCACGCAGAACTGCCAAAAGGCAGGAGTGGTTTCCCAGGAGGAGGTCTCCTCGAGAGTAAGACTTGGGGCTAATTGGCCACTCCCTTAGCCTATTTAAGAAAGAATGCAGCTTGCAACAAGCTGCAGGAAACAACTTTAGTTCGCTAATCATCGTGTTGGGATTTTTTTGCAACCTTGCTTCTGGGATTTCTGCCAACTCCAGTAAGACTCTGACTATCTTATCTGTGGAATTCTGGCAGGCTGTTAAGAACACTTATTAACAGCCTGCATTTGCTAAAACTGCGTTATTAAGTAAACTAAATTTTGTTCAGAGTTTGTGGGTGCTGCATTCTTTGGGATCCGTAGCTGGGGCAGAACAGCACTGCTTTCCAATCCATATGTGACTTCTTCTTCTCCACACAGTCCCAAAGCCGGCTATTAAAAAGGGGCCTCTCCGTTCTGATGCTTGGTAACCGACTCATATGTGTGACAGTTGCCGCGTCCCGGAGTTCTGTCGCCATCCCCGTTTGCAATCTTGTAATGAGCAAAGTCCACGGGGCAGCCAGATTCATTTCACAGCTGTATTACCAATTGAACAAGGGCAAGGACTGACTTAACAACGGTGGTGAAGAAGGTCGTTAAATGGGGGCAAAACCTCACTTAACTGATATCTGAGACTTCGCCACAAAAATGTGGGGCTCAATTGTGGTCGAGGACTATCTGTAGATAGTGAAGTGGTGTAGGGTTTCCTGCCTAAGCAGGGGGTTGGACTAGAAGACCTCCAAGGTCCCTTCCAACTCTGTTATTCTATTCTATTCTATTCTAAACTGATGTGTTTCAAAATGTCCGCCGGGATTTGCAATCACCATTCTCTTGCCTATTTTGCCTGGTGTCTAGGTATGATGACTTATCAGAAGAATGGTTGTAAGTGCCGAATCATGTCTTCCAGCAGTATACCGGTGAGATTGGTGGCCAACTTTGAAGTCTTACCTGTCAGCCCTTCCTGCAACAAAGTCGAATATATGTAAGTACCGAATCATCTCCAGAGCGAAGCGGGGAGAGAGGAAAGGAAAAAAAACCCAGAAAATTCTGATTTAAGAATATTCCTGCCGTAGACGGAAGGTGGAGTTGTCTCGGCTGCCTTTATCCCTTAATATGTGCCTCAAAGAATGCACAACAATGTTTGGGATGGGACTATATAAGTAGTCCTCAATTTATGATCACAATTGTGATTCTTCTCTGTGGAAAAAAACATCCCTTCAGAGACAGGATTGGCCCCCACTTTAACACACTTTCTCAAGATCCTGAAGACTTGGTTCTGCCAATGGGCCTCGGAACCCAGAATGATACAGTAGTTTTATCAAGTAGTTTTATTGATTGTTGTGGAGTGGGGTTATTATTGCTTTTTGTATTGTAGTCCTTGATGCCATCTGAGCTTAGTTGCCTTCTTGCAGACGTTTCACTAGACTAAGACTGATGAGGTTACCTAGTAGAGTCATGAAACGTCTGCAAGAAAACAACGAAGCTCAGAAAGTGCCAAGGACCCCTCATTTCAAGCCTGAGCTGGTGTCACATGGGAGCGCCTCGTCGCCCCCATAATCCCCCGCGCAGCCGCGTTCTGGACCAGCTGGAGCCTCCAGGTGCACCCCAGGGGGAGCCCCATGTAAATGTGGATGCCAAAGCAGCCAGATTTTGATCATGTAATTGTTGGGATGCTGTGATGGACACAAGAGGGAGGACTGGTTGTAACTTTGAATGCCACTAAATGAAGGGTTGTAAGTTGTTAACCACCTGTAAGTGTAATAAATAAGGAGTTTTGTTCCTTGTTTCCTTCTTTTCAAGAGTGACACGGAAGGACTCAGGAAAGCGGCAGTGCCTAAACCCAACTTTGCCAGAAGTGCAGATAATGTATAAAAAATGTAAGTTCAATCAATTTTATTTACAGTTGAAAGGACCAAAAGCAGGTTACAAACATCATCTAAACTCGGCACGCGGTGGCTCAGTGGCTAAGATGCTGAGCTTGTCGATCGAAAGGCCAGCAGTTCAGCGGTTCGAATCCCTAGTGCCGCGTAACTGAGTGAGCTCCTGTTACTTGTCCCAGCTTCTGCCAACCTAGCAGTTCGAAAGTACATTAAAAATGCAAGTAGAAAAATAGGGACCACCTTTGGTAGGAAGGGAACAGCGTTCCCGTGCGCCTTTGGCGTTTAGTCATGCCGGCCACATGACCACGGAGGCGTCTTCGGACAGCGCTGGCTCTTCGGCTTTGAAACAGAGATGAGCACTGCCCCCTAGAGTCAGGAATGACTAGCACATATGTGCGAGGGGAACCTTTACTTTTACCTTTAAGCAGTGTTTGGGTTATGTTAAGAAACACTTTGTTCCCCTTTCAGGGGTGTGAAACTGGCGGTCCACGGGCCAAGCCCATCCCAGCTCCGCAAAGGGGAAAAACAATGTGAAATGTCATGTGACGGCAATGTGACACCACGGGTTTGGCACCCGTGCTGTAAGGGAACTTAGCACACGTTCAGGAGGACCTTTAGAGACCTGAAGGCTAAACACAAAAGCTATTTCGGTTTGGCCAGAATTGGCTAGGAAGATGCTTCTGCAGTACCTGTATTTTGGCTGAAATAAATGGTCCTTCCCAAAAAGCTGTTTTCACCTCTTCCATTTTGTTTTAAACCAGACCTACATTTGAAGAAGACCCAACCAAGATGGAGAACACCAATAAGACCTCAGTAATTTCATCCAGGCAAGGGGTGATGGTCTCCATTGGATGTCCTAGGCACGCCGCAGGAACAAAATTGCCTCAACCAAAGAGGATGGAAGCCGGTGGAAGTCTGTGGGCTTGTTCTGTGTGTTGTTGTTTTTTCAAACCCATATATTTTTGTACACAATATACAAGCTAAGGCATCATACAATTTGCTGGACTTCGTTAGCACGATGGCTTAGCTGTCTAAATATAGCCAAACTGTGTTGAATGAACCAAATGATGGTTAAACAAGTGTTTGAAGCCAGTCTGTTTGGGAGAGTCCTGTAGGTCTCCCACTTGGCTTGCATATCACACCAAGCAGCTAGTTTGATCTGGGCTAAGTAAGTGGTTTTTATTGATCAAATGTATGTGTAGCATGATCCCACCCATTCGTGTATTTAAGCCATCATTCATGATTAATGAACCAAGGCAATTGTGAGCCTAAAACTGGAATCAAACAAAGTATGTAGGCTCCAGGTTTTGTCTGAGAGGTACTGCAATCAAAGGTGGCCAGAGCAGTCAAACCTTTAATCATTATTGGTGGGTTCCCAAAAGCCATGCAATTAATTTTAGGTAACCAAGGACCTACATTTTGAAGATAAATATATATATATAACTCAGGGTTGCACTGTTGGGCTGAAGAAGTACTCCGAGTCAGTTTTCCATGGCAGTTGCAAATGTTCATGGCTACAAATTACAATGAGCCATGTTATATCCTTAGAGGTTAGATTGGTTAGATTGTAGAGGATAGTCCTCTACAAAGCCTGAAGACCTAGATGAGTTCACAGCAGGGGATTTTATAGTGACTTAAGCATTGTTGTTGGCCTGCTGATAATCTTTGGTTTATTTTGTCAGCATCCCTTATCGGTTCTTTATGTTTCACTGACATTGTTTTATTGTTTTGAATGTGTGGTAAGCCACCCAGAACCACATCTGCAGAGTGGATAGTTTGCACAAATGAATTTAATTTACCACAGAAATAACCAAAGATTAAGCTGGAATGAGATCACAGCATCACTCCTCTTTCTCAGTCCTGACAACAGGCCAGTCTTGTAGACAACAACTGCATTTAACAGGGTAGCTCACCAATGACATGTAATGTAAATGGTACATGTGATGACATGTAACAGATATTAATATATTTTACAATGGAAAAATCCCAGCTGGTAGCATTGCAGATATGGTTCAGCAAGTAATGAAATATCTGCAAATGGAAAACTTAAGCTCGGAGAATACAGCTTTATTGAATAAAGTTCCTCAGTCTTGTTGAACTGCTTTAAAATATATAAAATATAAAAATGTGCAAGGAATCCACTACGATATATTCTTAAGACTTCAGATATGCGCCTACATATCTAACTCTTTCAATCTGCTAAAGTTAATAATAAAATTTATATTATTCATCCCACATTGTGTGGGAATTTAAAATTAAGTCTTTTTCACTCCAAGAAATCTGTAGAAGGATTCAGTCCTCATTTCTATTTTATGTAGCACAGGCAAAACTATTTTCTCATAAGTCAGTTCTAAAGATTTGCTTCTGTTAAAATGTATTTTCAAATATATGAAACAGGTACATTTATATTGGAGATGATGATGTAATACACATTTGATCACTTCTTGAACTGTTACAGATATTGCTTACAGCTATACTTGAAAATGTAACTTGTTACGTGTACTCAGGAAAAATGAAATTAATATCAGGATGCCTTGTAAACATATGCATGTTTTAAAGAAAATAATGTAAATTAAGTTTAGAAGAAATAACTTTTTACCTAAGAAAATATAAATTATTCAATAAAAGATGACAAAGCACAGACTTGCTTTATGGTATTCTTCAACTAATAAAAGATTTGCATTTTATAAAAGGGACATGGTCTCTGAGCCTTAATAAAAGTGCAAATGCTCAAATACTATATCCTAATACCATATCACAGTGGTGAAATCCAAATTTTTTTACTACCGGTTCTGTGGGCGTGGCTTGGTGGGCATGGTGTGGCTTGGTGGGTGTGGCTTGATGGACGTGGCAGGGGAAGGATACTGCAAAATCCCCATTCCCACCCCACTGTAGGGAAAGGATACTGCAAACTCTCCATTCCCATCCCACTCCAGGAGAAGAATATTGCAAAATCTTTGTTCCCACCCCACTCTGGGGCCAGCCAGAGGTGGTATTTGTTGGTTCTCCGAACTACTCAAAATTTCCGCTACCGGTCCCAGTAGGGTGGGAATGGAGATTTCTAGGAACTGGAAGACACGAGGTGATTATTGTTTGGAAGAATGGTATAAGGAAGTATGGGATATTGCCATAAATGATAAATTGACTTGCAATATTAAAGTAAGGAGGGGCATGATGAAAGTAAATGAATTCAATGGAATCTGGAAACAGTTCGTAATATATGTGTTTTCTGGAGGAAGGGGGATACCACCACCAGAAGAAGCTTTAAGATTTTGGAAGCAGGAATGATCCAGAGGGGTGGGGGAGCACTCGTTGATTGTTTGTATTGTGTATATTGTTATATATTATGATTCATGTATGTAATGTATGTTAATTTTTTTTTAAATAATAAAAAAAATATGAAAAAAAAATAAAAACAAAATTTCCGCTACCGGTTCTCCAGAACCTGCTGGATTTCACCCCTGGCCATATCATTAAAAATATAATATTTTTGATGGAGATTCTCTACAACCATCCACTTTGGGCACCAGGACCATATCCTTTACCAGGGATCTCCAAACTTGGCAACTTTAAGATTTGGGGATTTCAGCTCCCAGAATTCCCCAGCCAGTGTCTTGTATGAACTTAAGGTGAGGGCTAGTTAGGGTTCCTTTCATTGCTGAGATTGAGAAACGCTGCTCTGATTTAAAAAGCCAGCTAGATAAACTGGAACTCCAACTCCCAGAATTCTGCGCGCCGGCTGGGAAATTCCGGGAGCTGCCATCGAAGCAAGGCAAAAGGCGCCTCCGCTGCTTTTGCTGCAGTACTGCATGCCTGAGGCGCTCTCGCGTTTAAAGGACACGACGACCCTTCGCGGCTACCGTAGCCACGTGACTTAACATGGCGCCGCCCAGCGAAGACCCCACGTTGCCGGTCCGGAAGAAGCTGCGCCGTCCGCCGTCATGGCCGCTCGCCATAACAACAAGCTGCCGTTCAACCTGCCGCAGCTGCAGAACTTGATCAAGCGGGACCCGCCGTCATATACCGAGGAGGTGAGGAATTGTAGGGTGGGGGAATAGCCTGAAAAGGGGTCCTGGGTGATGTTTCTGTTCAAGGGGGGGGTTGGACTAGATGACCTCTAAGGTCCCTTCCGGCTCTGTTATTTCATTATTTCTGTACAGTGTTGCCGCCGAAAATAGCAACGGAAAAGACGCCTCTGGAGCGTGCGCAGGCAGTCCTCGACTTACAACCGCTCCTTTAGTGGCCGTTCGAAGTTACACTGAAAAATGACTTAATGGCCGTTTTTCCACACTTACGACCGTTGCAGCATTTTCCCCCTTTGGTCACGTGATTCAAACCAGCTGGGCCACTGGTTCGTATTTATGGACCGTTGCTTGTGTGTCCCTTTTGCGACTTTCTCACCCATCAAAGTCCATGGGGGGGAGGGGCAGCCAAATTCGCTTAACAACCGGGTTAAGTAACTTATCAACTCTGCAGTGATTCACTTAACGCCCTGATAGCGCAGCAGACTAAAAGCCTGTTATTAACATCAGCTGCCTGCAATTACTGCAAGTTCAATTCTCACCAGGCTCAAGGTTGACTCAGCCTTCCATCCTTTCTAAGGTAGGTAAAATGAGGACCCGGATTGTGGGGGCAATAAGGTGACTTTGTATAAATATACAAAAAAGGATGAAGGCTATTGCTTAACGCATTGTAAGCCGCCCTGAGTCTCCGGAGAAGGGCGGCATATAAATCAAATAAAAAATAAAAAACAACGGGGGGGGGGGAGGGCGGCAAGAAAATGAGTAACATGGGGGCAAAACTCATTTCACAAATGTCAGCAACAGAAAGGTTGGGCTCGGCTGTGGTCGTAAGTCGAGGACCACCTAAGGGAGTGAGGTGTGGTCGTAAGTCGAGGATCACTTATAGGGAGTGACAGGTTGGAGTAGGGGGTCTCCAACCTTGGCAACTTTAAGCCTTTAAGTTGGAGGACTTCCAACTCCCAGAATTCTCCTTTTGAATGGAACGTTCTTATTTGGTTTATTGACGATCACACATTGTGAGAGAACTTGGTGGCGCAGCAGACTAAAGCACTGTTAAGTAACACCAACTGCCTGCAATTACTGCAAGTTCAAATCTCACCAGGCTCAAGGTTGACTCAGCCTTCCATCCTTTCGAGGTAGGTAAAATGAGGACCCAGATTGGGGGGGCAATAAGCTGACTTTGTATAAAAAAGAACACCGCTTAGGGGCCCCCCGAAAGCCCTACTAAGCAGGTATATACAAAAGTATGAAGGCTATTGCTTAATGCATTGTAAGCCGCCCTGAGTCTCCGGAGAAGGACGGCATATAAATCAAACCAATAAATAAATAAATCCTCATTCCCAGCTCAACTTTGGTTAGGGATATTTAGCAATGAACTACAGTGAAAGTATTTTTTTTTCCCCCTTTGAATTTCTTCTAGTTCCTTCAACAGTATCGCCATTATAAGTCCAATGTGGAAATATTCAAACTTCAGCCAGCAAAGCCCAATAAAGAACTGGGTGAATTGGTGATGTTCTTGGCCCAGGTAAAATGCTATTTGGTATTTGTGTGTGTATGAGAGAGAGAAAAAGAGAATTTTGCTTGAATTACATCAGGGGTCTTCAAACTTGGCAACTTTAAGATTTGTGGACTTCAACTCCCAGGATTCCCCAGCCAGCTATGCTGGGGAATTCTGGGAGTGGAAGTCCTTCTTCTTCTTCTTGTGCCTTATCCATCATCGGACGTTGGCGATCATGTTGGCAATCCTATTTTTGTCAACAGCCGTATGAAAAGGTGCTGCTGAGTTTTATCCAAACCAGTCCCTGAGGTTTTGAAGCCATGATGTTCTTCTTCTGCCTGGACCTCATTTGCCTGTGGAAGTCCACAGGTCTTAAAGTTGCCGAATTTGGAGATCCCTGAATTAGATTAAACCTCCCTCACTGAAGAAAAAAAAATTATTAGGAGAATGAAAATGCTAAGGCTTTTCCTTCCAATAATTCTAATGAAAGGTTCTAAACATAAATGAGAATAATCACTTCTGACAATTCTAATAGATGGAGCTAAAACTAATTTAGTCGTTTCTTCTGCTTGAATCACTATTTTGACTGTGGCTTTAACAATATTTTCATAGAAAATTCTCACCATCCTTAAGTTGCAAGGATACTATAGTGGGAAAAAAAGCAGTGTATGCATTAGACATTGTATAGCAAGTAGTCCAATGCTTCAGATTCAGTTCCGAAAAGTTGATCTGGAGTGGGTGGGAGCAGGAACATATCCGCCCACTGCAACTTTTTAAAGTAGCTGCATCTTTGCTGAGTCATGTTGCAGACGACAGCGGCACAATCCTAAGAAATGACATAGGTGCTTTAAAGCGTAACCTTCAGAACTAACATTCTGTCCTCTGAAATACTTTTTCCAAATTTGTGCATATTAAATGGAAATTGCTATGTAAGAGGGAAAGTGTCCTCTGTTATTGGTATCCTATTCATAGGAAGCCTCTTTAGGGGAAAATCTCCATTTTGGTAGTGAAACCATTGTGTGCAACTGACATCCAATATTTCCAGAGAATGCCAGATTAGAGAAAACTGCATTTTGGATTGAATATTATCTGTGGGACATGAGAATGTGAGGTTAAGCCAGAGGTCGGCAACCGTAAATACTCAAAGAGCCTCAAAGGTCCTAACCGGAAGCCCCCCGTTCAATTTTGGAGCCAACCAGAAGTCCGGTTCCCCCTCCATAGAGTCTCCTCCTAGCGCGGCCTCCTTTTTACTCTGCCAATTGGAAGTCCGGTTCCCTCCACCATAGAGTCTCCTCCTAGCATGGCATCCTTTTTCCTCTACCTGTCCTAACCAAAAGCCCTATCAATTGTGGAGCCGACCAGCAACAGGGAGTCGCAGCAGAGGGATGAAAGAGCCACACATGTGGCTCCAGAGCTGCAGGTTGCCAACAATCCCTGGGTTAAGCTATTAAGAGGCATTTCCCTTTGGGGCAGGAATTAGCAGTGTCCTCCCAATTTCTAAGGTAGAAAGTCGTAAGATCCCCAAATCTTCCAAGCTTCCAATGACCTCAAAGCTGAGAGTTCATGTAAGAATGTCAAAATCTTACAAGAATTTAGATATTTTGTGTATTGGGTATTGGGTGAGGGGGATCACCTGTTGGAATTGAATTTGTGGATGACTTTGGACGAAGGAAAGAGATGCTATTTTAGGGAAATGATCAAACGAGATGCAGGAGTTCCCCAGTGGCTTAGTAGCCAGAGGAAGAAACTTAGGAAGGACCTGCCCTATAGTTGACCAAACCCCAGTGGCAGCAGGAAATTTGTATTTTTAGACTTGCAAGATTTTGTTAATGTAGCCTTGCAGTACAGTAGATTTAGCTTATCTCGTTATTTTCTTTCTGGTTTACTTCAGAGGATTGACACCAGTGGTGGGTTCCTCCCGGTTTGGTCCGGTTCGGCTGAGCCGGTAGCTGTGACAATATGATGTCACCGAACCTGTTCTCCCCCCCCTGTGCTCCCCCCCCACGTTATTCTTACCTTTTATTTGGTCCCACCCCCAATCTATTGCTGCCTCCTGAGTCCCAGCTGATGACTAGAGGGAAAAAAACTGTTTAAACTCTTGCCGCGGGGCTTCAAAAGGCT